GAATGAATGAATAGTGATAATTCTTTCCTCTCTGTTATCCCACAGGACACAGATGTCACTTTCAAATTCGGTTAAAAACTCCCTGGAAACACAGAGCTGCTTTTTAGAGCCATTTTCCCATGGAATCAGCAAATAAGTAAACAAAAAGCAGCTCCTTGACACCTACTGTATGCTCAGCCCCCATAGGCTAAAGGGAGGTACAAACAAAGAGTTAGTCTCTCTCTTCAAGGTCTTTACAATCCAGCTGGGGATGAGTGCTCCGGTCGTAGAATGCCTAAGCAGACAACTGCTCAGAACCTTGAGGGATAGTCGTTGGAGCTCTGAGGGGCTGGAGTGGTCAGAGAGGCTTTCTGGAGGAGGGAACACCTGCAGTGCCCTTTGAAGAATAGGGCCTGCTGGGTAACTGGTTGGAAGAAGAATGTTCCCCAGAGGGCAACCAAGTGGCGACCTTCTTCAGGTCCTGATGGAGGAAGGTGGGTTGAGCGGGTCACAGCCACCATATCCTGACATTATGGCATTCCTGCTCCTCAGGCTGTCCACTCCAGGTCACCTCATACAACCTGGAGACCAGGCCAGACCTAATGGAATCGTTAGGGTACTATTGCTGTGGCCCAGGAATCCAGGAAGAGAACACATGAGATTCAGACACGCCTGGAGTCAGGCCAATGCAAGCAGCGTGAACTTGCACAAGGCTGAGGAAAACTTGCTGGGCCTCAGTTTCCCCATCTATAAAATGGAACCAAGGACACGTTCCTCATTGGATTGTTGGGAGGCCCAGTATGTGAAACTCTGGATCCATGTCCTCAAAGAGAGCCCATCACTATGGACTCTCAGGTTCTGGCCACAAGTGTGCATGGGCCAGGGTTTTCTCAGGTCACCTCCTCTCTGGGCCTCAGTTTCACTGCTGTCTATCTCTGACATGGGTCAGGGAACCCTTTGCAGTTTCCTCCCCTCTTGTTTTCACCTCTGTGCTTGCCAGGCTCCTCTTTCCCAAGTGAATTTGCATGTGGCCAGGTGGCTATTTCAAAGTCCAGGGAACTGAAATCAAGGGAGCAAGGGTGATACAAACCAGGGTGGGAGTGAGGGAGGGCAGGTGCTCAGGGCAGCTGGGTCCGCGTCCTTGGGGGAGGAACTAGGTCTTTTCCCCACCTCCCACTGCCTACCTCCATGCTTTCCCCACCAGGAAAGAGGACTCAAGGGCCTTCTAAATGAGGCCAAGCCGGACACTGGACTTGGAATCTTGCTCTGCTTTAGCCCGAAAGAGCTGGGGAGGAGTGGGGAGTGGAGCGAGGGAACAACAGCGTTCAGCACATCTGGATTCTAATCCTACCCCTGAGGTTTTCTAGTTGTGCGACATTGGCGAAGGCACCCAGCCTCTTTGAGCCTGGGGTCCTATCTGAAAAACAGATCCTAGGAGACCCTAAGAGCGCAGGGGTCGTGCTGAGTTAGGTTGGGATTGTACTGCCGGGCTCGTCCGGGCCCCGCAGTCGGCGCGAGCTCGGTCCCAGCCTTCCGTGCGCGCGCGCCATGCGGCCGGGGCGCTGGCTGCTCTCGGAGGGGGTCGGGGCCTTCGCCCACCTTTCCTCCCGTCCGCGCTTTCTCTGCGTCTGCAGAGGCCCCTGCCCTGAGTTTTCCGCGCCAGGAAGGAAAATAGGGGTTTAGCGACCCCTCTTGGCGAATGCATGTTACAGCTGTTGTGGTCGCAGGCGTCCCACGGGCAGGTGATGGGAAACGCGGAAGGTTGGGGGAAATGAGGGTTTTCCCTCCGGGCAAGTCTTCATTCCACCGTCAGCAGTCACCTGGTGACTGCGGTGATTGGTTCCTTCATTCCCGTCCTCAGTCACTCATCGAATTGCTACCAATAGTCGTCAACAAACACTGACCGAGAACCACCTCTGTGCCTTGGAACCTAAGAAGCTACTGCCCAGAATGGACCCATTGCATTATGGTATACATTCGTTCTTTCACTCGTTCGTTCCTTCCTTCGTTAATTTACCCACTCGCTCACTCATTCATAAATGTGGTTGAGCTCCCCTATGGGCGAAGCACCATTCTTTCCATTTGAGAAACAGTAAGCAAACAAGCAAAGACCCTTGCTCTCATGAGCTTTAAGTTTTAGAAGGGGGCACTGAAAATAGTGCACATAATAAACAAGTATCGAGTACATTTGAAGGAGAAAAGTGCTATAAAACATGAAAAGTGGAATGGGGGGCACTGCAGTGTGGCAGGGGTGGAAGCAGGTTGCAGAATGAGGTAGGTGGTCATAATAGGCCTCCGAGAGAAGGTGATATTTATGCAGAGTCGTAGGAGGTGAGAAAGGGAGCCGAGCAGGTATCTGGGGGCAGAGCAGTCCAGGCATTGGAACCCAGCTAGAGCAAAGGCTTTGAGGCACTGCTGTGCTTTATACTGTAGGCATGAGCAAAGAGCCTGGGGATATAGGTTGGGGCCCCTAAACCTGCCTAAGGAGTCAGGGAGGAAGTTTCCTTGGAGGAGGTGACATGCAGGCATAGACCTGAAGGAGAAGCAGGAGTCTGCCAAGTGGGTAGATTTGTGAAAGTGCTCTCTGAGTGGAGGCAACAGCACATGCAAAGGCCTGGAGGAATGAGAGATGATGGTGTGCTGGGAGCGATACAGGAGGTTCAGTGTTTTGGGGATGTTGGTGGTGGGGGAAGAGATGTGCAAAGAATGAGACTAGGCAGAAATTTGTGATTGATTATTCTAGAGGTCTGGTATGCCACATGAAAGAATTTGGATTCAGAGGTTGCAAATTGATGGCCGAGGGCTGAAATCAACTGGTAAAACCGTTTTGCGTGGCAGTGCTTGCCTTTTTTTTTTTTTTTTAACTTGAAGGCATAGAGGAGGGATATGCAGGCTTCTGTTAGTCAACAGTCTCCCCAGTCCTCCCCTTTGCCTTAAGCCAGCTTTGCACATTTGTTACCATTGTGTCCTTGAAGGTATTTGGGTTTATAACCCCTGTAAGAGGAAGGGGAGCCACTGAAGGATCTTGAGCAAAGATCAGACTTTTCCGTTGGAAAATGTATTCTGGGACTCCTTGAAATCGGGGAACTTTTCCTTTATTTTGATAGTCTCACGGTCTAACACAGGGCTTGGTACATGATAGGTGCCCAGTGAATTGTTTTTTTGAGTGGGGAATGAACAAATAAATGACAGAAGAGATGGGTCGTCAGTGCAGGCCAGGCTGTGGAATATGTGAGGTCCTAACGCTCTCGGTAAAGTGCCTGCCCACTGCTCATGCGTCCTCTCAGTGTGGAGTCCACGAGGACAGCGTCTCTCCAAGAGGAATTCAGAATCACCTGCCATGTTTGTTTTAAAATGCAGACTCCTGAGCCCAATTATAGACCTACTGGATCGAAATCCCTTAGTGGAGCCCAGGCACCTGCATTTTAAACAAGAACCCACTGAAGTTGGAGGACAGGCACAAGACAGGGTATTCTTGAACCACAAGCTGCTTTTGGCCTTGCTTCTGTTTGTCGACCCTCAGGGAAGGCAGACCAGGAAGCTCGTTCACCTAGGCCATTCCCATCGCCCTTTGTGAGGTAGTTTTCATGACCTCCCCCTTTAACAAAGAGACACTGAAGACCCCGAAAGGCTGAGTGGGTTTGCCAAGGACACACAGTCAGGTAGGGCTAGGGGGATTGGGACCAGCCCTCCTGGCAATCACTCCAGTGCTTCCTAGTCAAGCTGCCCTTCCTGCCTGAGGTTAACCCACTGCAGCCTGCTCTCAACTGTGACCTCCCCAGAAACGGGAAAGGTTAGTAGCTCATTTGTGCTTTAATTGAGGTTCCCTTGCTCCAGTGGTTCTCAGACATTGCAAAGTATCCAAATCACCTGGTGGTCTCAAGATACTACTCAGGCCCCGGCCCTTGCCCGCTTCCAAGAGCCTCCTGCCCTTTATGAGCCCTCCAGGTGACGCCAAGACCTTCAAAGTTTGAGAACCAGGGCTCCAAACTGTGGTTCTCCCAAGTGTGGGCATTGCTGAGCCTCTCTCTGTAATGGTGCAAAGAAGAGTCCATTTTACTCTGAAATTTTTAATCTCCATAATGTTTTCCATAATGGCTGCACTAATTTACATTCCACTTCTGGGTGTTTATCTAAAGAATACCGAGACACTAATTTGAAAAGATACATGCACCCTTATGTTCATCACAGGATTATTTACAATAGTCAAGATATGGAAACAACCTAAGTCCCATCAATGGATGAATGGATAAAGAAGATCTGGTATAGGTATACTATGGAATACTACTCAGCCGTAAAAAATGAAATCTTGCCGTTTGTGATAACATGGATGGACCTTGAGGGTATTATGCAAAGTGAGATAAGTCAGATGGAGAAAGACAAATACCGTATGATTTCACTCATAGGTGGAATATAAAAAAAAAAACAAAAATAAATGAACAAACCAAACTAAACAAACACAGAGAACAGAGTAATGGCTATTAGAGGGGAAGGATGGAGGTGGGGTACGAGTAAAAGGGATCAACTGTGTGATGACAGATGGAAACTAAACTTTTGGTGGTGAGCACACTGTAGTGTGTGCAGACGTTGAAATATAATGTTGTACACATGAAACATACAATGTTATAAACCAATGTTACCTCAGTTAAAAGTAAAGCAATAAATTAAACAAAATTTTTTTAAAAAGAAAGGCCATTTTAGGTAATTGAGAGCAGCTGGGGGAGATCCCCTTGGAAAGGGCAAGGTGGATCTTGTCGCCCTTGAAATCATCTGCGCTTAAAAGCAGAGCACGCAGGCCCAAAGCAGTAAGCAAGCCTAGTGGGAGGAGGAGGTGGAGGAGGGGTCTCTGGGCCCCAAAGATTAAGAACAATTTCATCAGACATAAGGATTTTATTTGTTTTTGTTTCTGTTTTTTGCAGGACGTGGGCCTCTCACTGTTGTGGCCTCTCCCGTTGCGGAGCACAGGCTCCGGACGCGCAGGCTCAGCGGCCATGGCTCATGGGCCCAGCCTATCTGCGGCATGCGGGATCCTCCCGGACCGGGGCACGAACCCGCGTCCCCTGCATCGGCAGGCGGACTCTCAACCACTGCGCCACCAGGGAAGCCCAGACATAAGGATTTTAGACCAGAGAAGAAATGAGTAAAAACAGGGACGGAGGTAAATGCAGCGTGGCTCGGTCGGGAGCCGCGGCTGTGGAGTGAGAGGGGGCTTTAGGCCAAACATTGCCGGGCTTTACCTGGGCCCCTGGAGCCCCAGTGGGGTGGGGCAACGATGGACTTAGGGGGCTTCTGGATCCCTGAAAGTGAAAGCCAAGCTTTGAGGGGATATGCACCCTTCCAGCAAAAGCCTCAGGGAGGGATAGTTAAGAGGGCAGTGGGCCCTGGGGTTCAAGCCTCCCTTTCCCATCCTATTTATGTGAGCCTGTGTGATTCACCTCCTGCTTTTGAGCCTCTGTTTTCTCATCTGTAAAGTGAGGCTAATGGTGGTACCCTCCTCATAGAGTCACTCTGAGGATTAAATCACGTGGGGCATGCAAAGAAGCCAGACCAGAGCCCGGCTCAAGGCAGCACCCAATCGGTGTAAGTTGTTGTTGATAATGTTGCGGTTGCAGAGGGTCTGTGACCCCCAAAATAGCTTACACTGTTCCTACTCATTCTGGGTATGTAGGGGGGGCTGCATTAAATTCAACAGACTATTATTATGTCCTCATTCACCCCATCTGAAAGTTGGGGATAACACGTCTAGGATTAAAGGAAAATGAAGCTGCATGTGGTTGGGGGTTCCAGGCAGTGCTAGGCTCACTCATGAGGTGAGTGCCCCCGGTTGAAAGTGCTGGTCTAGTGTTCACTAGCAAAGTCTGATCAGCATATATATGTAACATGGGTGTAGCTGCATCCCCATAAAACTGTATTTACCAAAAGATGAATTGGGGACCTAGCCTATAACTATACTCAATTCTCTTGTAGAACGTCTGTTAATTCTTTTGCATCTTCCAGGTAGACAGTAGGAATCTGTAGATAGCAATCATCCAGATTCCCTATTTTTAACTCTAATTTCTTTCCTTGCTTAATACTTCTGGCCGAGACCTCTGGTACAATGTTAGATATTTCACAGTGATCACGGGCAGCCTTAGCTCTTGTTCATGAATTCAAACCCTTCAGTTTCTAGATTGAGTAGGAGGCTGGCTTTTGGGCTGAGAGATGTCTTGGTTAAAGAGGTAGCCATTCATGGCATCAAGTTGTCTAACTCAAGAATGGGTATCGAATTCTGTCAGATGTCTCCATAGCATCTATAGATCAAGTGACTTTTATCCCCTTAGGATCTATTAATGAAGAGTTACTATAAATCATAGAATTGAGCTGTCCTTCCATTCTCAGTATGACCCCACGTGGTTATTGTGTTATGCTGATGGATTCTGCTTGTTAGGTGCTATTTGTCTTCTAAGTATTAATAACCTAATCATAGGTGAGATTTGTCCATAGTTCTTCATATAAACATCATCAAATCTACATATCACTGTTTATTTGATTATGAAATGTGGATGCTTTTCCTTTTTTCTAGAACAGTTTAATAGCACTGGAATAATATTCTCCTTTAAGTACATGGTAGAATTTCCTTATGAGACCCTCTGGGCCAGATACTTTTTTTTTTTTTTTTTGCGATACATGGGCCTCTCACTGTTGCGGCCTCTCCCGCTGAGGAGCACAGCCTCCGGACGCGCAGGCTCAGGGGCCATGGCTCACGGGCCCAGCCGCTCCGCGGCATGTGGGATCTTCCCGGACCGGGGCACGAACCCGCGTCCCCTGCATCGCCAGGCAGACTCTCAACCACTGTGCCACCAGGGAAGCCCTGGGCCAGATACTTTTTAAGGGAGCTAGCTCTTTGATAACTTCTAAGGAAACTGATTTGTTTAGATTTTATTTCTTATCTGGAATTAGGAATAATAAGCTATAATACATTTTAAACTGAATTATCCATTTCTTCCGGACTTAGGCATATCCATTAGAATAGTTCAAAATACTCTTTAGTTCATCTTATTTCCATGCACGTGCTTTCTCCTATTTTTCTTGACTAAGTTAGCTTCTGCTTGCATTCTCTCTCTCTCAAGAACTGTCTTTTCATTTTTTTCTACTGTAAATTAATTATGCAAATATCCCTCTGTATACTTGGGGCCTGTTCCCATACTGGTCTTTACACTTGAAGGGCTAGCATTGGAAATGAACTCATTTAGCTATTTATAGTCTAATAGAGCCTTAAATTAGCTACAGCTGCATTTTAAAAACCTACTTAAATATAGTAAAATTCATAAGTGTACACTTTGAGCTTTGGCAAATGGCTATAGCCGTGTAACCATCACCCTATCAAGATATAGGTCATGTCATCTCCCCAGAAATTTCCCTGCACCCCATTACAGTCAGTTTCCCAACCTCCTGTCCAGGGAGCCACTGTTCTGATTTCTATCACTACCGATTACTTTTGCCTGTTCTGTGAGTAGAACTGTACCGTATGTACCTTGTCTGCTCTCTATCACTCAGTTGGTTTTAGCTTTTAAAGGCAAACCTACTTGCTCTGGTTAGTAGTGTCCTCTGCAGTAAATCCAGCCCCTCTAGGGGGAGAAATTGGTACTACCTATTGAAATGTTGATCTTGTGATGGCTACAAGATTCTAGGTTGGGAGTTATTACCTTTCAGTATATTGAAAATAGCATTTCACTATCTTCAGGTGTCTGCTGTTGCTAACATCAGCTTTTGGTCTATTATTCCTTTTAAGATAACTTTTTCTTTTTTTGCTTGGCTGCTTTCAAAGTGTTTGTCTTGTTTTTTTGTAGCTTCACCATGATGTCTTTTTTTTTTTTTGTAGCTTCACCGTGATATATATATATATATATATATATATATATATATATATATGTATATATATATATGTATAGATTTATTTATCCTAATTTGCACTTGTTGGGCTTCTTGAAGCCATGCTTTGGTGTCTGGTTATTTGGCACTGATAAACCATCTTATTCAAATTGCTTCTCTTCTGCCCCATTTTCTCTTCCTTTGGGACTCCAAGCGAACATGTATATGTGTATGTATATTTTAGATTTTATATCTTTTGTCTTTCTTTTGTGTCTTCATGCCACACTCTAGAAAGTTTCTTCAGCCTCTTTTTCCAGGTCACTAATTTTCTCTTTAGTTGTATCTAATATGCCATTAAACCCTTCCACTGAGGTTTAAAATTTTTGATCATTGTATTTTAACAACAGGAGATCTAGAATCTCCCGTTTTCTTTAAATCTGTCATTTAAGTAACTTCTAATTTTTGTCAACTTTCAGGCTTGGGTTTTGTCTCCTTGAACAGAAAAGCAATTATTTTACAATCTACTCCTAGTACCTCAAGTCCAGTTGGTCTTTGTTGTCTGTGCTGGTTTTAGCTCATGCTGTTTATTCATGTGTCTGGATTTTCTGTGTGCTCGACTCTGTATTTGAAGAATTATCCTTTTTGAGAAATCTAAAATCTAAAGTATACTGCTTCCAGAGTATTTGTTTGCTTCTGCCCAGGGACTTTGAGTCACCAACAGTACAGGATGACAATATTGTTGGATGAAGTTAATCCAACGCCAAACTTGAGACTTCTGGGGCATCATGTGATGTGAAGTCAGGCTGTAGTCTGTGTATGTGCTGGTTTTCTGCCAGTTCACTGTTTTTCTAGGAGTTCTGGGCTAAAGTCAGAGAGCTTAGGTTTAAATCCTGGTTCTACTATGGGACACTAGAAGTTCCTTGTCTTCACTGAGCTCCAATTTTACCTCCAACTGAGGTAAGTACCTTCTCATCTTACATGAGTAACTGATACCCAGGGGAGATAATTCTTCCAACATCCTACAGTTGTTGAGTTGCAACTACAGAATAGAATCTGGGCTTCTCCAGGCTGCTTTTACCTGAGTTTTCAGTTTTGCAACTTGTATTTAGGCATCTGTATCCCCAAACACCTTACTTCCCATGTACATAAAGAAGACTCGACAATCTTTATCATAATTACTACATTGAAAAGGAAGAATCTTAATTAGACTAGAGTACTGAGACTCCAGGGGAGGCTGGTGCATGGCAAGGGGAAGGAAGGCCAAAGGGCAAGATAGAGCTAGAAGGGCTTGTAGGGCACTAAAAAAAGAGACAGAAGTATCCTGGTATAAATGGTATACCCAGGTACTGGCATCCCAAATGAACAGGAGACAAGCTTGTCCCTAGTTCACTTCCCATGTTCTTTCCCCATTCCCGGTTTCTACTGTTTAAGATCTTTCAGCTCTTATCAGAGGGCACCAGCTGGGCTGGTTCTGAGATGCTGCTTCTATAGAAGGGCCCTGAGTGTGGTTTGGGAGGTAGATGGTTTAAGGATGAGAAATACTGGAACCAAGGATGTAGCCAAAAAGACTTAGCCAGACAACTTAGGGCTGAGATTTAAGGACATTATGGCCTTTGTGGAACAACATCATTACAATAGACTTTTCCTGTGGAAAAGACAAGTTTTGGCAGAGGTCCATCTTCTAGGTTTTCCCCCTGGCCTTGCAACATACTCAGTTCCTTATCAGAAAAAATATTTACCAGGAAAATACACTTTTTGCAGTTCCTTGCCTTGGCCCCACTTTCTGCTCCATAAGCCCGCCTGGAGAGGTTCTCATTCTACCTTCTTTAAACAGCCTCCCTCCTCCAATGGCTTGTTGGGCCACCTGGCCTCCAGCTTCCCTGCCCCATCCTGATCCCTGTTTCCTGTGAACCTGGAGTCCCTGGCTGAGGGCTGGGTGGATGGGACAGAGTAGTGGGACCTTGGTAACAGCAAGGACTTCCAGGATAAGAAGTCCAAGAGACTCCCTAATCCAGCTTGACCTGGAATAACTTAAATCCTGGGCCCATGTGCTGCTCTATGGAGCTGTCACATCTTTGATTTTATTATGAAGGTAAAACAGAACAAACACAGTCCATATGTGACATCCCAGGCCTGGGAGAAAGCAGAAGTGCCCTGGTGACAGCTTCTTGCCCATAGAAGGGAGGTCATCTCCACCATCTTGGCCCTTCCCACAGGCACTGATCAAGACCAATAAGGATGATGGGTACCACCTTTTGGAAGGCAAAAACAAAGGAACCTACTCACCTCCAGAGTTGAGAGCCCCGTTGAAATTACCCTCTTACTTCTAGGGGATGGAGCTTGGGCCAGAGCAAAGCTTTTGCTTGTGAAACAAGGGTGAGTCTGGGAATAAGAGCTTATATTTGTTCAATTTCTTTCTAAGTATGTTTCTAAAAGTGGTAAGTAAAGTTCTTTGTATCACTGTTGATGAAATGTTGACATCCTAAGTCAAGACTTGGTACCCCTTTGTCCTATGGCTTCATCTGGCTGTTGCTCTGTCTTCCATAGCTTAAAGTCTTCAGTCATGGTTCATCTCTTTACTGACTCGGCCACATCCTTGTGGTTGTGCCTCTCCCACTAGTTACCTATGTGCCAGGCACTGTGCTAAGGATATGATGACGAAGTCTGACCTGTGCAGATACTGAACAAGTAACACAATTAAGTGTCATTGCATAGAAGTATAGGTTGCGATGGGAGCATCACAGGCAGACCAAGGATGGTTTGGAGAGGTTGGGCAGAGTGTCCAGTACTTTGAAATGCTGGTGCCACAAACCTGTAAAAGAAGTAACAAGGTTTTGTATATGTGGGGGGAATGTAAGGGATGTAACATAGAAAAAGAACTTAGAAGATGGCATTTGGTGGGAGATGTGTAAGTCTAGATTCTTAGAAAAAGAGGTCTCAGTGACTGGGCATATGAGGATTGTCTTATAATGAATTAGAGGCAGCTGTCAGCCTCAAATTTTCTTACCTCCTGGCTTCTTAATATCTGATATTTTTTTACTCTTTGAGGCTTTATAAAGGTGTTTCTCAAGTCTTATCCAGCATTTTGACTTCTTTTCAGACAGAAGGTTGTTCTGAATAGTTAGAGGTTCAGAAAGTATAGTCCTAGGAACTTCGTTAAAACTGCAAATTCTTAGGCCCCACCCCAGACCTCCTGAAACAAAGTACAGTGATGAGGACTAGCCATTTGTGTCCTCACAAACCTTCTAAGTGATTCTGGTGGACTTTAAAGTTCAAGAACCATGTATCTCGACCATGGTTACTGGTGATGGAAGTCCAAGGCAGCTGTCACCGTGAGCAGGTTGAAGGCATTTACAGGAAGTAACACAAAGTAGGAGCTTTGAACATCTGGTACGGCCAACTTGGGGAAAATGGCAAAAAGAAGGGCTGACGTTCTAGAACAAGAGCTGGCAAATGTTTTCTGTAACAGGCCAGATAGTAAATATATTAGTCCTCGTGAGCCATGTGGTCTGTGTCACAACTATTCAACTCTGCCGTTAAAGTACAAAAGCAGCTATAGATAATATATAAACAAGCAAACACAACTGTGTTCCAATAAAACTTTATTTACAAAAACAAATGGAAGGCTAGTTTGGCCCTTGGGCAGTAGTTTACTTACCCCTATTCCAGCAGAATGACTTATTCAGCGTTTTGGTTTGGTGTTTTCGTTTTTAGCAGCAGAATCCCTTTTCTTACTTAGAACTCTACAGAGCAGGAATTGCTCTGGTTGAAGAATCCACAGCCTACCTGTTCAGTTTCCCCTTTTTCTCTAAGTGGGCCCTAAGGCTCTTCCCCAGAACATATGTTAATGACATTTATGTACAGCGCTCCAATATCTGGGGTTGGGGCCACTTAGGCATTGCCCTTGAATGAGCAGGTAACTCTTCCTGAATTCATTTGGGCCTACAACCAAGGTGTGGAGGTAGGAGGAACTAGCGACCAGCCTGAGATCAGGCCCAGACCTTTGCTGCAGCGCATGGACTCTCTTTCTCTGCAGGTTCCAGCCAGCCTGCTGAGGCCAATAGGAATACCCAGAGTATGAGTGGCCCATCAGACATGCCCTCCATGCCCTATGGCCAGATGAGGGACCAGGCCCTCGGAAACCGTAGCATCCACACCCAGCTGATGGAGATGGTGCTGTTCTTGCGGCAGACGGTGGAGGATAACATCACGCAGCTGATGACCAGGCACCAGCAGCAGGACCTGGCGCTGGAGAAGCAGAGGCACAATCAGGCCGTCAGGGACCAGGAGGCCTTCCTGGGTCACTTAATGTTCCAGATGCTCCACTACCTGCAGTCTGGGGCCACAGGTGACCAGAGCTTCCAACTGCCTGACGCTTCCATGGACTCTAGGGTCGATGTCGGAGGTGGGCAGCAGGCCCAATCATCCAGGCAGATTTGCCAGACGTTTTACCAATGGAGTGATTTTGAAGATACACTTATCAGCTATGACCTGTCCAACCGTGGGATTGACATCTCTGCCTTATACCACTCCAGCTTCCAGGACTACACCTACCAAGGAAACAAATACCACAAGGACGAGAACACCCTGGTGAGGATGGGGGGACATACTCTAGGGGCCCCATCACTAGGATTTACTGAGTCCCGTGTCACGTACTGTGAACTCTCACTGACTCTTCCAGCCCCATGAAGTAGGCACTATTTTCTTCTATAGGTAAGGGGATAGGCACGGAAGTAAGGTGATGTGGCCAAGAAAGTTGACAAGCTGGGTCTGGTTTCCCCTCCTGTCCCAGCTCTTACCCACTAGGAGTCACTCTGGTCACTGTGGTAAGTGAACCTACCCTCATGGAACTCAGTCTGGTGATGGATATCTTCGGCCATTGGGGAAATGAACGTGAATAATGTTTGCAAGAGCGCTAAGGGGATGCCTGCTTTGGGTGGTCAGGGAGGATGTTTTAAAGGTTGAATAAGCCAGCCATGTGGTGGGAGTCGGGGTGGGGGTCCTCCAGGCAAGAGGAACAGCATGTGTGAAAGCTTTAAGGTGGGAAGGGCTTGGAGTGATTGGACAAGGAGACCCATGTGGCTTGAGAAGGGACAGTGAGCCCTGTGACAGAGGTATGGCTGGGATCAGGCCATTGTGAGATGTTAGGATGTTATCCTAATGGTGGTGGGAGCAGGAAGAGGCTCCCAGCAAGGGAGGTTCACAGCAGCTCTCCAGCCAGAGGGCGGAGGACCACACGAGCCACACCTTTCCTTCTATTCCCATCTAAGTGACGTGTGGCTGGTGGCTGTCTGCTTTTCTGGGGGCCAAGAGAGTCAGGTATCCCCACTGGCCTCTGAGGGGTCATACCTCTTCCAGTAACTTGAAGGGCCCTTCCATGGAAGTGGAAATAGCAGAGATGGATACACGCAGGGCCTGTGCTGGCTAAGGATCCAGGCTCTGGGGCCAGTCAGGTGGAATTCTGCCCATCATCAAGGTCACGTGGCTAGTTGTTTATTCAACATTTCTGGGCTTCACGCTCTTTAAGTCGAGATCAGAATAGAGCTTTATTCTCAGGAGTTGTGAGAATGAAGGCAATTCACAGGAAGCACTTAGTCTAGTGTCTAGAACATAGGAGCTCAATGAATGATAGCTGGTACATAATACAACTATTATTATCTATTGGGCTGGCCAAAAAGTTCATTTGGTTTTAAGTAAAAATAAAAGACATCTTTCATTTTCACCAAGAACTTTATTGAACAACATATTCATTAACCAAACAAACTTTTTGGCCAACCCAATAAATGGCTCGAAAGGGAAACTTGCAAGCTGTGAGATCTTTAGGGTTTGTAGAATTTTATCTAATATTAAAGTTGTCAAACATGGATTGCATTGCCTCATGGAGCAGGGAGACCCCCATCTGGGTTCGTCCAGCATAAGTACTTGTGACCTGGTTAAAGCGTCCATGTAGGGCAGGGCAAGAGGACTGACCTTAGATTCCTTCCATCTCCAGGGCTACATCAACCTTGGTACCAGTGAGAAGAAGATCTGTATTGATCTGCTGGCTGAAAAGGTAAGCCATGTTCCGGTGTGTGCTGGGACCCACCTTCAGGCCCAGGCCCCCTAGAATGTTCTTTGGCATGTTGTAGATACAGGAATAAGACTTAGAAGTTTGGGGAAGGGAGTGGGGAAATAGCTTCTAGAATAGCGCATCCAACCTCCTGGTTGGGCTGTGTTGGGAGGTGTTCTCTGGATGGATATATGATGGGTAAGCTGCTAAGGGAGCCTCCGGATCAAATGTAGGGTTGGGGAAGTTGTCAGACTCTTCCCAGTGGATAGCTATTTGTATAATCTTTGACAAGAAGCTTGAAGCCTCCATTCACCAGGGAACATGAAGCATATATGCCCATTTTCCTCTGGGAGGCCCTGTGTTGCAGGGCAAACACCTATATGCGTCCTAGGAGCAGGCTGGAACTTCTTGGGCATCCCTGGTCTGGCTGGGCTCATGCTCTATTTGTCAACAGTTGACTCGGACTGACATGCTGTACATTGATGAAGACCTACTGCAGTATCCTGATTGGAGAGGGCAACCATTGTAAGTAGCCCCTTACAGAGCTGGGGTCTTCTGGTCCACAGGCACCTGTCCTCATCCAGGGAAGGACTCAAGGTGCCAGATTCTCTGCTGGGTGCCTACCTATTTTGGGGGACAATGACTTCTAGAAAATGCCTAGCCCAGAATATCATAGGAGGCAGGCTGGTATCATAGAGATAGCACTGCCCTATAATTCAAAAGGCCCAAGTTCTTGTCCAAACTCTTACAGTTAATATCTGTGTCGCCTGGGGAGTTGAGAGCCTCAGTCCCCTGTTAACCCTGTAAGGACCCTGAGGTTGGATGCTTTGCTCTTTCAAAAAGACCCAAGTCTAGACTATGGGGAAAGCCCACAGGCAGGCCTGGGAAACACAGGTCTCTCTGGGTCTGTCCACAGCCTGCGGAAAGAAGTAGCCCGGTTCCTGACCTCCGACTGTAAGGCACCTGCCCGCCTTGACCCAGAAAATGAGCCTCTTTCCAGCCTTCTTGCCACCCTGGGGGAAGACCATATTCTTGAGGGCCTCTCTGCCTTTCCAGCACAGCCCCTCAGAGCCGGGGCAGAGTGAAGGCCAATGGGTCCTAGCTGAGGAGACTCCTCATGTCTGTCCTCCCAGGCGGAGAGAGACGGGGGAACTATCCCTCTTACGTGAGGATTGGTTTTCGACTTCTGCCTTCTGTGTATCTTCTTCAGGTGGTTGTTCTAAACGGCTGCTCCTCTGTCTTCTCCGCACTAGCCATGGTTCTGTGTGACCCAGGTGGTAAGTCAGTGGGCTCTGCGTTCCCTCAGGGAAATAGCAGCATGTGGGCATGAGTGCATGGGCACTGGGCCTTGGGGGAGAAGAGCAGCTTGACTGAAGGCCTTACCCCTAAAGAACTGGGGTGCTTCCTGCACTGGTTAGAACGTCTTCCTACTATTTGTGCTGGGGTGAGGGATTTGGGTTCCCATTTAATATGGACATGTGACAGTCCTCAAGGAGGTCTGCCCCAAGGATGGTGACAATGGGAGCCAACTCATTACAGTATTAGTTGGACTTTTGGTCTCAGCTCCAATCCAGACAGCCCTAGTAAACTAGACAATATAGATGCCCTGTCTCCTCAAAAAACAAACAAAAACACCAAAATCAAAAACTGAGTTCTGGACCAAATAAAGCTTGAGAGATTTGTTCTCAGTCTCCTTCTTAACGATGCCTCCTAACAATCTGAAATAAAAATCTCAGATTTCTTGATGAACCTACTGTATGGGAGACTCGTTACCAAGACGACCATTTCACTTGAAGGGGTGGGTCCTTGATTAGCCCATCAATGAGGCCGAATGGACAGGAAGAAAAGAACACATGAGATCACCAGGGTCACATGACCTGAGCCACGTAGAGAGATGAGAGCCCTCCCTGTGCGTGGACCTCAGCCTCCAGTGTCGGTATGGAGCTGACAAGACTTGCTGATGACCCGTGTTCTACCTGCTAGCAAGCCTGGCTTGAGTCCCGGGATTCCAAGTCACTTATAGCAGTATTCTTCCCTTTCTCCTCTAGTGTACCTGCAAAGAAGAGACTTGAGTGTTGTTTCCCCAAATAATGTTTAGAAGAGTGGGTTACTTTTATAGAGCTGTGCCCCAAATCATTCATCCCTAAGTAGGAGGGATTACCCAACTAACCTTCTCTGAGTGTAGCGTTGCTGCTGGTCTGAGGGTCCTGGCACGTTCTGACTGGGAAACCCTGGACTAACAGCTCTGTCTCTCTGCTTCCAGAGGCCTTTCTTGTCCCCACCCCCTCCTATGGTGGCTTTATCTTTAGTACTCACCTGTATGCGAAAGTTGAACTTGTTCCTGTCCACCTGGAGAGCCAGGTCAGTGTGGGGCCCCTTCCCCTGCTCAGCCCACCCAGGCAATGGAATGATCTTGGGGCATTTCCAAGGTGTAGGGGGTTCTTGCTTTTCTCCTACATAAGTTATGGGAGAAGGATGGAGAAATCGGGCAAAGAGGGTATGTGGGACTAGTGCCCTGGGTATGAAGGTAAAGGATTGTTCACGGTTTATAGGAGTGAGGAATCAAGGCTTGGAAGCTTCCAAACAGGTGGTTCTCAGGCCGTGTTTGTCTTCCAGGTCACTGAGGCGAGCGCCTATCCATTCCAGCTCACTGTGGACAAGCTGGAGCAAGCCCTGCTCGGGGCTAAGATTGAGGTCAGGAGAGAACAAGGTCTTCAGGGTGGGCACTGCCACCCCGGAAAGGGACTGAGTATGGACACTCTGGTATAACTTGTTCACCGAGACGCTGTGGGCACCTTCTTCAAAAGAGATAGTGTCCCAGGGCACGTCACCCGAGGAGCCCTGGCTGTGGCGGCCCCCAGAGCTCCTTCCTGATCCCCTCTGTGGGCAAAAATACGATAGTTGCTCCTCCGAGAGCCCACTGAGGTCTTGATTAGGTGCTCGATACTCGGTGCCCTAACCTGATCTTTGGCTGGACTTGATGTCGATGTGAAGGACTTGTGTTCACTTGGTTACGTTTGGTCCTTTTTAGGGGAAAAAGGTCAGAGGCCTTGTGCTAATTAACCATCAGAATCCTCTGGGAGACATCTACTCCCGAGACTCAGTGATGGAATATCTGGAATTTGCCAAGAAGTATGAGTTCTACCCCCTTGAGACTAGATGAAGTCCGTAAGAAGGGTTCCAATCACTCAGAGTCAAGGAGTCAGAACCAGAAATAATATACCCTAAATATCCTTATTGCGTGGTATACTTTGTGAAGTTACGGACAACTAACTGCAATCGAAATGAAGGAAAATGCACCCACCTGCTCACTACTTCAAACTGTGCCATTTCCTTTCTAGCCTTTGTCCATGTGCACATACCTACACAACAGTCATCATACAGTTCTGTTGCTTTTCCACCTCTTGTAGCATAAGCACTTTCTTCCCGCATCCATTTCCCAAACTACTTGGCTTGAGGTGCCAAGGAAGACAGCCTCTCAGACCTTGTGGGGTGAAGATGAGTCCCTGTAGAACTTTCATGTCTCATTTCTAAGAGCATGTTAACATGTTATCTCTAAAGTCTGGAAATAGCCCTCTCAGGGTAGATAATCTTCTTCTATCTAGAAGAAACCCTTATTCAAACTTTATAACGTATCCAGACCAATTAATGGCAGAGCAAGGGATAAGAGGAAGAATGCTGGGGGAGGTCTACATTCCAGCTCTAACATCTGCTAGCTGAGGGAATGAACTTTCTGTCTCAGAAACTTAGTTTCTTTCTGTGAAATAGAGCTAACAGTACTGCTTCAAAGGGCTGTTGGGAGAATAAAGGAGATGAAGCACATGAGCACTTAGCCTGCTTTATAAACCTATTTGATCCAGATCTTGGGTGTCAGCTCCTGACTGTACCGGAAGAGACCTCTCTGGGATGCCCAGTCCCTTCCCACTAGTCTCTGCTTGATGGTTGAAGCGTGAGGTCGAATGTTCTCATGCATGTCTTTTGGGTTCTCTTCCTTCCTCGTATCCCCAAGTCAGGGTGAAAGGTCCTCTCTGGTGAAGGAGAGACCCTCTTCTACGTTGCCACACCTCCTGGAAGGGTTGGATGGGCTGCTGGGGCAGTAGGAGTGTCTGATCTGTGTCTAGAGAGGACCATCAAACGAAGCAAGCTAACAATTGGGGAGAACCTGGATATCGTCCTCCCTCTTTCACTCAACCTACAGGTACAAGCTACATGTGATTATAGATGAGATTTACATGCTGTCTGTGTTTGATGAAGCCATCCCATTCCATAGTGTTCTGAGCCTGGAGAGGTAGGTTGGTCTTGGCTGGAATTGGGAATGAGAACCATGAAATTCCTACTTTGCAGGGTGAGTCCACGGGCCATCAACTTAATTGGCTGCATGCCAGGAACTGAGCTCAGAGCCACTGGGAGTGTGAAAGTGAGCAAAGCATCATCTTTCCTCCCAAGTGTCTTCTCCAAATGCCATTTTGTACATGAGATAACTTGAGGGAAAGGTAGCATATGCATTGTCAAAAGTCAAGTTGAAACCCTCCAGAAGGTCAGGGTAGGAACTCCTTGAGAAGTAGGGCACGGGGAAAGAATAGAAATAGAGCAGAACTTTCTGGAGGGTAGTATTCAGCCCTAGGATAGGATGCGGCAGGCAAAGCAAGAGAAGAGCGTGCCTGGAGGAAGGAAGAGCTTCGCCAAATGCGGGGCAGTAAGAAATAGGTGGACACATTTTAGAAATGGGGGGTGGCCCACTTGTGTAGGAGCCAACTGAAGGTGGCTTTGGACCAGCTGTGGGAAGACCCCGAGCCAGGCTGCGGGCCCTGGACTTCATTCAGTGGGCACTTGAGAGCTGTCCCATCTGGTTCCACGAGGATACCTTTTGTTGACTTCCTGGCTTAACTGGGGCAGCTGTTTCTTCACTGTGGGTCCCATAGGCCCTTCTGTCTAGGAAGGCCTCAAGGCCACTTTCCCCTTCCCTTCATAGACCCCAAGTCTTCATCCTTCAAATATTTCTCCATAATCTTGACTGTACTCTCTCTTCTCCAGTTTTCCTGACCCCAACAAGACCCATGTGATCTGGGGCACCAGTGAAGTGAGTCCCTGCTGCCTGTCCTTGGGTAGGGAAGGAAGTCGATCCAGGAGCAGAAGGCAGACGAACTGGGTATTTCCTTCCCTACTTCTCTTCCTCTAGGGTTTCGGCATCTCTGGCTTCTGCTTTGGCACTCTGTACACCTGCAACAGGGAGGTGGCCTCTGCCGTTAGCTCCTTTGGCTACCTCCACAGCATCTCTGGCGTCACCCAGTACAAGCTGTGTCAGCTGCTCCAGGACAGAGGTACTGAGCCCTGTTCAGGGCCAGACCTCGTGGCCATGGGGAATTCCTGGGTCTGCTTGGGCCTCTGACATGCCTTCAATACAGTGAGACCCTGTTCACTGTCTTGGGTTTAACAGTGGCAGGACAGGAAGTTTACAGGAGGGCAGGCTGTAGCTCAGATGATGCAGCCGGGTGTAGACAGAAGATGGAGGTGCTGGTCTAAAACACTGGCCATCTGGTAGCTCGTGCTCTGCTTGGAAAGGGGATCATCAACTGTACTCTAGGACTTAAAGGTGGGAACTTCAGAAATGAGTCTTTATGTAAAGGTCAATTTTCCCTCCCCCAAAGCTGGCTTGCTTCAGGCAAAGATTACAAAGGGACACCCTGATTCCTCGAATATGATTTAACTTCATCTTCCAGTGTGGCCAAAGGAGAGCTGCCATTTGGGCAAGTTGGTGTGGCTACATCTGCGGCACCTGAATTCACCTTCCCCTTGGATCTTAAGTGAATGCTGGCTTCAGAGGGAATTTCCCCCCTTTTATGCCATGGTATAAGGGCTCCTTTTTAAAATTCCCTGTAATACAGCAGATGCCAGGCCCGAGGATTTAAATTAAAAGCAGAGATATAATGAAACAAACTAATGTAATCAGATGATCTGGTTTAGAAAACAATTTGCTTTCAGCTTTGGGTGGAGAAAGGGGTAGGTAGGAGAAATCCAGCTGGATGCCTCCCTGGGTGGTGCCAGGCCCTCTAATAGTTTGGTAGAAACCAGATTCCCAGCTCCTTGAACGCTGGTTCTCAGTCTTGGATGCACATGGGAATTACCTGGGAAGTTTAAGTACTGATGTGTAGGCTGTATCCGTGAAGATTTTGATTTAGATGTCTGGGGATATAACCCGGGCCATCAGGCCTTTTAAAAGCTTCCCAAGTGGTTCTAAAGTGCTGCCAATGCTGAGGATAGTTGGGCTAAGATCATCCCCAAGCACGACGACGAGGTTCTTCAACATCCATTTGTTAGGGTCTAAGGCAGGAAGTAAGGGAGCTATGAGTACCTGCTACTTGCCCAGCTGACAACAGAAGCATCAACCCCATTTAGGGGACACCTCAACTTCTTGCCTCAAGGGTGTAAACTCAAACAGAACTTTCCTACACAATTATTGAGAAGCCCAATGTCTCTGCCTACCTAGCGGAAATGGGTGTGTTGGGTATAAGTCAGCTCAAATATAATACAGTCAGGCTTGGATAGAATCAGCAGGCATGGAGCCCAGGTAGGGAGCATTTTGTCAGGAAGCCTCTGGCAGATCTTAGCCCTGAGATGTGTGACAGCCCTCTTCCTCCACCCATCCAGAATGGGTTGACAATGTGTACCTGCCCATTTATTGCTTCCGGCTGCAGGAGGCTCACAGGTACATTACTGACAAACTGAAGGTATTGAAAGTCCCTTTTCTCAATCGTGGCTCTGGCCTCTATGTCTGGATCAACTTGAAACAGGTGAGTTCTGGGAATGAAGACAGGTGTTAAAGGGCAGATCTGCCTGATGGCTTTTGAGCTCAGCTTTGTCCCTCTGTCCTCCCCAGTACCTGGACCCATGCACATTGGAGGAAGAGCTGCTCCTCCATTGCTGCTTCCTGGACAACAAGCTGATTTTGTCCCGTGGCAAGACCTTCGTGGTCTAAACCAGCCTGGCTAGTTCCGCCTCATCTTTGCAGCTAGGCCCCTCCTGCTAAGAAGCCGTGAGTGGGGCTGACCTCCCAATCCTGGCATCCTTCAAAGATGCTCCAGCCACTCCTGTATGACGCAATAGCAGAGTCGTCCTTTTTTTTCCTTTAGCAGCCTATAGCTTCAGCCCTTCTAGGCCCTCTGTTTCCACTTTCATATCTTTAAGCTCCTTTGTAAACAGGAACTGACAGGCACTTGAGGTATATTATACCTTTTGGGTGTTTGGTCTGTGTCTGCCATTGAGCAGGTCATTGGGACTGTAAGCTCTCAAGAAATGGAGCTCTGCCCATGTGGGACTTGCTGGCTCCTAGGTGAGATAGACAGGGAGATGACCTAGAAGTCCCTGTATGCTATACTGTGGAGTTTAGATTCTCCTCTGAAGGTTCTGGAAACATGACATTCATTTTATCTATTGTATCTCAACACATGCAGGTCACTGTTTTACCTGCTGGCAACATAGCAATGAATAAGAGAACATTTATGTTACACAAATACCTTTCGGGCTAATGTGGAAAATAGACTGAGTGAAGGGCCACTAGAGGCAGAGAGAAAATGATGAGGCCAAGGCCATCAGCTAGGTGACAAGATTTGATCTGAGTCATGAAGGTAAACTGGCAGGCAGGGGCTGTGATGATGAAGCCAAAAAGAGCCATGGGGGATGCGGCAGGTCGACTTGGAAATCTATCCCAAAGAAGGGAAAGCTCAAGTTCAGCATCCCTGAACGAGAGGCTCTGTGGTGGTCTACTAGGACCTGGTTATATCTGGGGCCTACATGAAACCCACTAAGTATTGTTCTCTGTCCCCATTTGGACCCTCTAGCCATTCAGCGGTTCCATCAGGTGCTAGTGGAGCAGGGGCAAGATTGGGGAGTGAAGCAACTGGAGGATGCAAAGAAGGAGGAAGTGTCTACCTCCCAGCCAGCGGCTCCAGCCAGTCTCACTCTCAGGAAGTCCTGACGTCAGCCTCGGATCTGGAAGGCTGGTATACTGACCTGGAGCTGTGACCAAACAGAGAGTGGGCTCCTCTAGGCATGAGCTCGTTTGACCTCACCATCAGCCCCCCTAAGCTGAGCATCTGTCATTTTTGGAAGCTTTACATCTTTTTAGTCTTCTAGCCATTGTGTGTGTGCAAAATGCTTTTATGGCGATTCCGGTGGGAAAGCCTAGAGAGGAATAAAGGGAGGTCTCTGGGTCCCTATTTAGATGGGTTTACTTTTATATTTGATATCTAATAACTTCCATATTCTTGTAAATTCCAGGCCTGTTTTGTTTCTTATTCACGTGCTTCATATCACCTTTTGAGAGCTAGATGATTTTTAAATTTTTGATTACACTTAATTTAAATTTAATTAAATTTAATTAAAAATTAAATTTAGGACTTCCTTGGTGGGGCAGTGGTTAAGAATCCGCCTGCCGGGCTTCCCTGGTGGCGCAGTGGTTGAGAGTCCACCTGCCGATGCAGGGGACACGGGTTCGTGCCCCGGTCCGGGAAGATCCCACATGCCGCGGAGTGGCTGGGCCCGTGGGCCGTGGCCGCTGAGCCTGCGTGTCCGGAGCCTGTGCTCCGCGACGGGAGAGGCCCGCGTAACGCAAAAAAAAAAAAAAAAGAATCCGCCTGCCAATGCAGGGGACACGGGTTCAAGCCCTGGTCCGGGAAGATCTCACATGCCGCGGAGCAGCTAAGCCCGTGTACCACAACTACTGAGCCTGCGCTCTAGAGCCCGGGAGCCACAACTACTGAGCCCATGTGCCACAACTACTGAAGCCCGCATGCTCTGCAACAAGAGAAGCCACCGCACTGAGAAGCCTGCGCACCGCAACGAAGACCCAACACAGCCAAAAATAAATAAATAAATAATTTATTTTTAAAAATTAAATTTAGTTTTTAAATTCTAAAGCAGGTTATATGTGAAGAACACTTTTGGGGCAGATCAGAAAGGAAGGGAAACCGCGATGCCTAATTGGCGGAGCATTTTCTAGGTGTTGGGTGCAACGTCCCACAGGATCCTTTCACAGTCACGACCACCTTATACACGAGTGGCTCAGTGGCAGGATGGGGGCATAACTCCAAATATGAGTGCTTTCCATTCTTGCCTTTTCGAAAGGCTTTTAAAGTGAATCTCTGGTGATAAGCCTGAGGCCTTCCATTTTCACCTCTAGTGTTTCCAGCTGTTCAAATCATACCTCCTGTGCATTTCTCTGCAAAGCCTTTGTACATCTGAGCTTTAGTCTGAGCACCAATGCTGTGAAATGGGCAGAGTGGGGACTACCACCATTTTATAGATGATGGAAGAGCTGTTAGCACCCACCAATGGCTTTGGTCCGTCACTTGGGTTTGGGACCATTCTTCCTCTCTTGGGTAGGTTTGTAGCCTGATGCTTCAAGATGCTTTACACCAGAGAAGTTTTTTTAGAAATCGACTTGACTAGCAGACACAGGAAGGGAATTCATTGGATGCATGAGGGAGCTCATGGGACCAGAAGAGAGGGGGAAGATAGGAACAAGAGATGCTCTTGGCATCTCTGCTACGGGAGCTCATAGCCAGTCTCATCAGGGCGCTGTCCTGGGAGGAAGATATGATGCCTTCCATGGAAGCGATAGGCCATTGCTGTCTTCTCTTCCACTCAAGATTCAAATGGTTGACTGGGAAGAATTTAATTTTTTCCTATCCAGGAACAGAGAATATCCCTCCATTTATTTAGGTCTTTAATTTCTCTCAGCATGGTCTTTGTAGCTTTCAGTGTACAGGTCTTAGGCCCATCTTATAAATTTATCACTATATTATGACTTTCATGTTATTTTCAATGTATAGATTATTAATTTCATTTTTAGTTGTTTGTTGCTAGTATATTGAGACAACTGATTTTGTATCTATCAAGAACTTTGAAGGCTCTGAGGTTTTACCTTACTTGCAAAATAACAGGTTTCATGGATGCTGGCGGAAGGCATGAGAATCTTGGGTCAGAGACAAAGGACAACTTATTAACTCACAGCAATAGCAGTAATCAGTATTGGCTTTTGGTTCCCCAAATCCTGATTCCTATAGGGCAAAGTGAAGGGGACCAAGGGATGCCTGTACATGCAATGGGGTGTGTTGCAGGAGAGGATAACCCAAACTTAAGGAACCTAATTCTTTTGTAATGAGCAGTAAACCTGCCTGAACTTTGGCCCCGAGGGAGAAATTATCTTTATTATACTTAGTAGTAAACAAACCTACCCTTTGCTCTGGAGGCAGACACTATCACTACCATCCAAGGTTGGTCACTGTATATATATGTGCACATATATACACACACGTATGCACGTACATGTATGCACGTACATATATGCATGTACTTACACACATATATATAATCCTATACAGCCCAGAACAAAGGCAGTCAGTGTCTCTGCTTGCAAGACAGGCAGAAGCATGAGAGACCTGGGAAGAACCATCTCCTGACAGTATCTTGAGACCTTGCTAAATTCACTTATTAGTCCTAGTCGTTTTGGAGGGGGATCTCAGTGAATTTTCAATGTACGCCATCATGTTGCCTGCGAATAGAGATGATTTTCCTTCTTTCTTTTCAATATTTATGTCTCTCATTTTTCTGTTCTAATTGCATGGCCTAGAACCTCAAGTATAATATTGAATAAAAGAAGTAAGAGGATATTCTTGCCTTGTTCTCAATCTTAGCAGGACTGAGTTCTGTCTCTCATTCTTAAGTACTGGATGTATTTTTCATACTGCCTTTACCAGATAGAAGAATTTCCTTCAATTCCTAGTTTGCTGAGAGATTTGCCATGAATGAGGGTTCAATTTTTGTCAGTTTTTTTTTTTTTTTTTTTTTTTGCAGTACACGGGCCTCTCACTGCTGTGGCCTCTCCCGTTGCAGAGCACAGGCTCTGGACGCACAGGCTCAGCGGCCACGGCTCACGGGCCCAGCCGCTCCGCGGCATGTGGGATCTTCCCGGACCGGGGCACGAACCCGTGTCCCCTGCATCGGCAGGTGGACTCCCAACCACTGCGCCACCAGGGAAGCCGAAACACCATATTCTTAATCTTACCATTTTATCCAGTCTGATGATCTTTTAACTGGTCTTTGGTCATTAATTTAATGTAATCATGGATATGGTTGTACTTAAGTCAATTATCTTGCTATTTGTCTTCTATTTGTGCCCTATGCTCTTTGTTCATTCTTTCCTTCCCGCGTGCCTTTTGAATTAATCAGGCATTATTTGGTATCCCATTTATTCTTAATTATACCTTTTGACTTTTTTTTAAAAAGTGTTTGCTCTAGAGATTACAATATATATCCATTGCCCTCAGTGAGAAGTTCACAGTCCTTAACAGGGTTTATTAAGATTCATGACCTGATCCCTGATCGTATCTCCAACCTTTCTCCTGAACCCTGCAAGCTCCGGGGGTCGGTATTAGGCTTGTTGCAGTTCATTAATGTTCCACACGGACTCTAACCTTAAAGGCTCTATCAAAGGCTTTCTTCTGCTTCCAACACCCCACACTCCAGCTAGCTAACTAGGACTCGAGCATCACTTCCTAAGTGTTTAGGGTGAATGAATGTGTGTGTAAGGCTTCCTGTATGGGGCCAATGCCTGTGTGTGTGTGTCAGGAAAGGGGGCAGTGGTGTTAAATCTCCCTGCCGCATGCTTCCCAGGCACCCAGTAATCTTTCTTATTAGTTAGCACATTTGTATGTCTGCCTTCCCAGTCAACCATGCAGGCCCGCTGTTTGTTTTGCCATCACTGTATCCCAGCATTCTGCAGAGATCTTGCACGACACAGGCATGCAATAAGACTACTTACCTGAATTAAACAGAATGATATGACTTAAATGGAGAGAACTGGCTTATTTTACATAACACGGAGGACCAAAAAGTCTTGAGAGCTGCTCAAGGTCACAATGTTAGTGGCAAGGCCAAAGCGAAGACAAGAAGTGGAGTGATCTGAAGACAGCCAAGTCTTCCCAGCCAGATCTGTACTGATGGATCCTGCTCATTGCTTTTCATGGAGAAAAGGAAAGTTTTCCTACTCAAAGGCTCGGCGCGGGCGTGGGACCTTGGTGGTCTAACTCATTGCCAAAGTCTCGGAAAGTGCATGGTCCCAGGCAGAGTTCACCAGATGTTCTGTATAACGAAAAGAGGAGAAATTACAAACTCAGGTCAAAAGCTTTCACAGGGGAAGGATGTTTTCAGGATGCCCTTAATCGGAATTAATGTAAGTCCGGAAAGCCTTTTCCATGGGCCGCAACCAGGCATACATTTGTCCAGTAACCTCCGTGACTCTGCCTGTAAATGGGGACACTAAGGCCAGGAGGCAGAGGGAGGGGCCCCCGTGTGCCAGGGGCGGGGAGACCGGGGCGGGAAGGCCGCCAGGGCGCTGAGGCCGCAGAGAGCGGAGGTAGCAGTGGGCGGCCCGTCCCTTCCAGGCGGAGCTCTGGCCCTGGGCCCCCTCCCTTTCCGCGGCTTCCCCTCCCCGCCCCACGGTGCTGCAGCGTGTGCGCTCCCTGCGCGCAGGCCACACCCGGGAGTCTTGCGGCCTCGGGCGCGAGTTGACGAACTGTGCCCGGAACCTTCTGGGAAGCCCGACCCGGCGTGGACGGTCCCGAGTGCGAGTGCCTGGGCCCGGGTGCCCTGCGCACAGCGGCGGTGAGCGAGTCCGGGCGAGGATTCGGACACAGACTGCGCGTGCCTGAGTGCCGGCGGCGGCTCCTCCAGCTCCGCAAGTAGGTGCAATCCACGCTTTGCAGAACAGGGGGCCTTGCCCGGGCTCGAGGCCTCGCTGCAGAAGTCCCGGCCCTTCCGTCTCGAAGCCCTCGGCCAGACTTAGACTTCCTCCTCCCGGAGGCCGGGAGCCGGCGCCCGCGAGGCGCCCGCCGCCATGCAGGGGTCTTGCGCTCTGCCTTCCACGCTGTCCGCCCTCTCGTGGATCTCCGAGGCCCGGCCGCGCGGGTTTCGGGCTCTGGACTCGCCGCCGCCCCACTGGACGCCCCGAGCCCGCCCTTCGCTCCCGCACGGCGCGCGCCGAGCCGGGGCCCGGCCGGCCCCCACCTCCACCCCGCCTCAGCCCCTCTGACCTGCCGAGGGCCCAGGCATAGGATGAGGGGGGGCGAGGTGAGGCTGGGGAGAGCCCAGTCAGTTGGGGGAGACCCCAGAAAAGACGTAGTGGAGCAAAATTTAACCGAGGAGCCCCCTGGGTTTCTGGGCCGCTGGTTGGTCCCCCATCATTTGGTGTTTGGGGTTTGTGCATCAGGACTGGGGAAAGCGGCGAGGAGTTATAATAACGTATTTTACTGAAGTTTGTCCATGAGCCAGGATTTGTTCTAAGCCATTTACACTAACATATATTTATGTCCTCACTGCTACCCTATGAGGTAGTTACGGCTACACCCACTGTGCCCGCGAGGACGCTGGCTTAGAAAGTGGAGGAGTTCACATCTGAACGCAGGATGAGACCAGCCCCTCGCAGCGGCCACGCCTCCCCCACTTCGGGAGGGAGCGGGGGTGGGGCCTTGGGCTCTGCTCAGGGTCGTGCACTTGCACTTGTGGGAACCCCACTTGCTTCTTCTCAGGCCCCACCCATCATCGCCTCGAAACAACCAGATAATCTCATTTTATCCTTTACTTCTATTCGCAACAGTCACCACAAGACCCCTGGACTCCAGGCTCTTTCTACTTTAAGTCAGAGAATTTTAACTTGGCTTTTTGAAATTGACGTCGGCAAGAATGGAAAAAGAAGCTGGTGACTCTTCAGGCTGCAGAATGAAAAACTTCCACAAAAGTAAAACAAGCTGAAGCAGCCATTTATTCAAGTTGTAGAAAAGTAGCAAGTACAGCCCCTGTCTGTAGATCCTTAGCAGAGTTGATGCCTTGAAGCGATTGCGCACATGGTTACAACTAGTAAGGGACACAGGAAGTGATGAGTATATAAACTTGAAGGAAGGGGCAGATAGAGAAGGGGGAGGGCCCCGTGACTCCCAGTTCATTTTTGTTGCTTGGTGCTAGGAAAGCCCTTGATCAGATCAGGCACTGAGTGCTTTTGTCTTTCTGCAGATGTTCCCACTCCCTCAGAAGGACTCCGGGACACCTACCACCTCTCCAGGTTCAGTCTCCACACAGGGCCTGCACAGTAACCATGGGGATGGTCTGGAAGGAGAATGCTCCGGAAAACCAGACCAGAAGCCGCTGAAGCTCTATGGAGTGGGTGATCCCACTGCCATGTTCTCCTCCGACAGCCCCTACCTGTCCTCTAGAGGAAGCATCATTAAATGGTTCTGGGATTCAGCAGAGGAGGGCTACAGGACCTACCACATGGATGAGTATGATGAGGATGAGAACCCCAGTGTGAGTGAAGGCCCCCTTCCCACTGGGACACAAGAGAGCACGGGGGGTGGAGGGGCGGGTACCCCACCTTGACCAACAGGGCAGCACACAGCTTGCTATTGTCATGTTGGAGTTGTGCCCCTTTGACTCCCCAACGGGGTGTCTTATGTTGCTCAGAGAGGCCCCTGTATACTACCTGAATCAGAAAATGGCCCATTTATAATTAAGGGAACCTTGATTTGTGAGGGAGGAATTCAAGAACCATGGAGTGCTCTTATATGGATCCTGATCCACAGCCCATCGACTATCCAACTTTAGATCTGGGACAGAACTCGGGTTCAGGTTGCAACTGTTTCACTTTTGGGTTGTGTATTCTTGAGCTAATTACTTAATGTCTTTGAACCTCAGTTCGTCTCTATAATGGGATAGTAATACCTCCTCTATAGAACGGTCACAATTAAATGAGATCAGGTATGTAAGTTACTAGCACAGTGCTTCCACATAGAGCATTCAATAAATGGTAGTTGCTATTATTATTAATATTACCTGCCCCAATGATTATAACTTATTACTAGTAATACCTTCAGAGGGTAGAGAGCTGTCACGAATAACCCTTTAATAATCTTTATTTGTTGAGCATGTACCAGGTGCTGACACTGTTCTATATACCAGGGTTACAGCCGTGAACAAAAATAAAGTTCCTGCCCTCATGGAGTTTATAGTCTAGTATGGGAGACAGACAGACATATACATATATACATATAATATGTTGGGATAAGTCTTGTAGGGAAAAATAAAGCAGGGTAATAGGATAGAGACTGGTGGGGTGGACTGGGGATATTACTATTTTATGTGAGGTGGTCATAGAAGGTCACTTTAATATGATGACATTGAAGCAGAGACCTGGAAAAAGTGAGGGATTGTATTAGTTATCTCTTGCTGTGTAACAAAGGACTTCCGGTCTTAGCAGCTTAAACAAACAGTTCACAGTTTCTGGAATTCAGGAATCCGGGTGGTGCTTCAGGCTAAAGATCTCCTGGGAAGTTGCAGTGAAGCTGGGGCTGTGGTCTCATTTGAAAGCTTGGTGGGGTGGGGAGATGATCCACTTCCAAGCTCACTCACATGGTTGTTGGCAGGCCTTGGTTCCTCACCACGTGGTCTTCTCCATGGGGCTGACAGGGCCTCTTCTTGCGGTACAATGACCCTTGTTCCCGTTCCTGCCAGAGCACCAGTTTACTGTGTACATTCTTTCATCCTGTAAACTGAGGCTTTTAAGAGATACAGCGGTGTCTTGGGCATGTATCCAGCCTTCAGGGACTTCCCATCCAGTGGGGGAGATAAAGCCTGTACATCAGACCCTGTGACCTGGGACAGAAACTGACTAGTGCCGTAAAGGGGGACAGATAAAGTGCTTTGGGATCCAGAAGAAGAAAAGATCCCTTGCAGGTGGGATTTTGAGGAAGGCTTCCTGGAGGAGATGGCATTTGCACAGAGCTTTAGAAATGGGAAGATAGGATCAGGGAGCCATGTGGAGGGCATGGCTTGAGCAAAGGCCAGGAGGGGTGGTGGGAAGGGCGGGATTGCAGAGAACTTCGCTTTGCTGCCTTGGTGCGCCCCCCGGGGCCTTCTGATAGCACCCTCTGCTGTGCTCACATGGCTCTGTACCTCTCACCTCCAGGGCATCATTAACTTGGGCACCAGTGAGAACAAACTCTGCTTTGACCTGCTGTCCAGGCGGGTAAGTCCCGGTGCACCTCTGGGTGGCATCCCCAGCTGCAAGGGGCTGTCTTCTCTGGGATTCCTTGGAACACTTCCCCCAGAGAGCCTGCTGCTTGCTTCAGCGGCCTTGGGGACCACTTTCCCTCCATCTTGGGAGAGTCACTTCCCCACTGTGATCCTCCTTCTTCACTTCTTCTGGCTCTTTCCCTCCTCAGTTCCTCCTGCTGGCTGGGGCCCTGCTCTCAGGGGGAGATACTCGGTGATGTGTGGTCAGTATTTAACAACTGGCCCTGGGAGAAAGGGGCCCCTGATCGGTAGCTTTTCTGATTCCCATAGTGTAAATGCCCCCACTGTGGCCGATATCAGGCTATTGCCGTGACATCACTGCATGCAGAGCTGGGAAGAGAGGTGCAGGGGCACCGTCACGTGGTAGTCCCACCATGCAGACACATGGACGGAAAGGACCTCCAGAGCACAGATGAGAGCAAAGTGGAGTAACATAGACAGGAGCAATATTGTTTGAGCACTTTTTACCTTTGTTTTTACTGTAACTGACTTACATAATTTATATGTATAGTTTATATAATTTAATTTTTGAAAATGGTACAGTTTGCAAAATTCCTGAAATCAGATTTCTTTCTTTTATTTATTTTTTTAAATTGAAGTATAATTGCTGTACAGTATTATACAAGTTTCAGGTATACAGCAGAGTGATTCACAATTTTTAAAGGTTATACTCCATTTATAGTTATTATAAAATATTGGCTCTATTCCCCGTGTTGTATAGTATATCCTTGTAGCTTATTTTATACCCAGTAGTTTGGACCTCTTAATCCCCTACCCTTATATTGCCCTTCCCTCTGCCTGCCAACTCACAGATAGAGAAAATAATCAGATTTCTTGAGCTGGTGTGAGCCATCTCTAGTAAACTGCTGGAACTATCTGATGAATGTGTCTCTCGAGGCCTAAGAGTTAGAGTTTGGAACTGTGGAGAGAGTGATCCTTAACCCAAAGGAACATATTTCCAAAGGGAAACATCTAAGCTGCAAGGGGAGAGGGGTGTAGGGAGTGGGGTTGAAAAGTCTGTTCTACCCAAAGCCAGCTCCCCACTCTAAGGCAGCTCAGCGCCATCCAGTAGAAATAAACTGTGAGCCACGTATATAATTAAAAATTTTCTATTAAATAAGTACAAAGAAACTGGTAAAATTCATTTTCATCATGTATTTTATTTAGCCCATTGTATCTAAAATATGGCTATTTCAACATGTAATCAATATAAAAAATTATTAATGAGCTGGTTTACATACTTCTTTCATATAAGTCTTCAGAATCCAGTGTCTCAGTTCAGGAGAGTCCCACATAAGAGCCCCATGTGGCCAGAGGCCTCTGGATCGGACAGTGCAGTGCTCAAGGACGAAGGAGAAATGGAAGAGGCTGGGGTCATAGACACGTGCCTCATTTCCCTTTCTTCCTTTTGGTCCTGCCGCCCAAGGCTTCTGCCTTTCCTCGACTTTGTGGGTGTGATGCCCTGGGAGTCACTAACCCAGCACCCAGGCAGGGTGGGGATGGTCTGGAAATGGCCTCATTTTCCAAAGTGTGAGGTTGAGCTGAGCCTGCAGGAAGACAGTGGCCTGAGTCCCTCCATGACTTAGAGCCAAGACCGAGGTAGGGCACCTAGTTCTGAGACCTCTTCTGTCACCCCGTTGGAGGAGCTGAGGTGCGCGGTCTCCTATCGCTGCCTCTGCAAATCCACCCCTCTGGTTTTGTTGGGCGGCGGTGTTGTATAAAGAGCACTGGACTAGGAGTCAAAAATTCTGGTTTGTCTTAGCTTCGCCACTTGCCGGTGCTGTGATGTTGGCTGAGCCATCTGACTTTTTTTTTTTTTGGTCGTGCCGTGCGGCTCGCGGGATCATAGTTCCCTGACCAGGGACTGAACCTGGGCCCCCTGCAGTGGAAGTGCACAGTCTTAACCACTGGACCGCCAGGGAAGTCCCACACCCGACATTTTTAAGCCTCAGTTTCCTCATCTGCAAAATGGGCATGAGAATGCTGTCCCTGGGCTGCCCCTGTCTCAGTTTCTCTGATAAGCAGACCAAGCCCTTGGCTTTAGAAGCCCTGGTGCTGCGTGGATGCAGGTGGCAGGGCTGGCCCTCACCATGAGTGTGTGCGTTCCTCAGCCCTGCTCTCCCCTGTCTGTCCCCAGCTGAGTCAGAGCGACATGCTGCGGGTGGAGCCGTCCCTGCTGCAGTACCCTGACTGGAGGGGACATCTGTTGTAAGTAGCACCTGTAGGCCAGTGGTTCTCAACCCCAGGGCGGTTTCCTTCCCCAAGAGACAGGTGGCAATATCTGGAGACATTTTTGGTTGTCGTAACTGGGAGGGGGTTGCTCCCGGCTTTTCTTGGGTAGAGGCAAGGGAAGCTGCTAAACCTCCTACAGTGCCCAGGACAGGCCCCTCCACAGGAAAGAATGATCTGGCCCGAAACATCAATAGTGGCGGGTTGAGAAAGCCTGCCCTAGGCTGAGGGCCTAGTCCTGGAGAGCTGGCAGTCGTGGGGTCTCCTGGAGCATCTGCAGGGAACTAGTGCCTCCTGCCCGTCCCACCCCTGCTCAGCGGCTCCCTGGCTTGGTTTCTCTTGAGTCTGAGGAGTGGAGAGGGCCTTCAGGCCAGGAGCCTTGTCTCCAATTTCTCAGTAGCTTTAGAGGAGCCAGAATCAGCTTAGGAGGAGATGGTTGGGGCCTTCTGCTGGTAAGATGGGAAATAGTAAGTAAAACTAATAAGAGTTTATATTTATTGAGCACTTGCTAGGGCCCAGATGCTGTCCTAAGGATTTAGTGCTGGAGCTGGACTTGATTCCAAGAGTAATTCCAAGCATGTGCTCTTATAATAATTAGGATGGTGGCCCTAGAGACTGACCACTGGGCTTGAGTGTGGACTCTGCCACTAACCGGCACGTAACCTAACTCCTTCAAGCCTCAGTTTTTTTGTCTGTAAAATGGGGATAATAATAATAGTAGTTGTGTCATAGGGGTTTTATGAAGAGTAAATGAGGAATATTCTCTAAATAACACCTGCATAAGGTAAATGCTTGTAAATATTAGCAATAACTATGATAATAGTTATTGTTATAATAATAATTATATTATCCTACATTATATTATATATTTTATTATATTAATGTGCTATTATTACTATTAATATTAGCTAGATCTGTATAGAGACTGTTACTTTTTGATATCCCTGCAGTCTGCTGATTAGGTGGGGTCAGGTGTCCTAGAACTACTGGAATGGAAGTTTCCACACATGCGGGTAGTGTTGGGACCGAGGAGGGAGGTGGGTACCAAGGAGTGGAGACAAATAGTGATCGTATTCCCATCGTGGGAAGCAGAGAAGGTTAATGGCAGCTACCTGAAGATTCACCAGAGGAGCTTTGGGATGGACTTGGGGTCGGAGCCCCTCTGACAAGCACTGCCCATCTGTCTGTCTGATCTCCAGCCTCCGGGAGGAAGTGGCCAGGTTCCTGTCTTTCTACTGCAGGAGCCCCGCACCCCTTAAACCAGAGAACGTGAGTAGCCCCCTCCCCTGCTCCTTCCTGATCTTCTGCCCCCTCCCCAACTTTTGGCTGGCCAGGGGTAAGGTAGGGTCACTTAGTTTTGATTTGGAATTAGGAAGACCCCTTCCCTTCTTTCCCCTCATCCTATATATTTAGAGTTTGGGTATAATTTCTGCCCCGCTCTGTTCCGTGGCCCCTCTTTGCCTCCACACCTTCGGGCAGGACTCTGAGTGACCAGCTCCCTCTTCCTTGCTCAGTTGATCTAGAACAGGGTCCCCACGAATAAGCCACACAAATGGACTTGGCTGTCAGTCAGGGTATGACCTGGCCCTCCCTCTGTGCCCTCCTGGGTTAGAGGCTGCAGGCCCTTGCACCCTCCTGGGACAGATTCATCTGTGTCCCATGGATGTGTCACCCTCAGGTCGTGGTTCTGAATGGCTGTGCCTCTGTCTTCTCCGCTCTGGCCACAGTGCTGTGTGAGGTGGGGGGTAAGTAGACCGCAGCCCATTCAGTACCAGGGGCTGCCCTGTGCCTGCAGTGTCCCTAGCTGCCTGTCCTCGAGGCCTGCATCAGGGTGCTTTTGCCATAATAGACTGCTAGACCACAGGGGGCTTAACTAAGGGGCCTGACAAGACACCAGGGGTTGGCAGTTCCAGGGGAAGTCAAGGTGATGCCAGGGTTCTGGGCCATTTCTCTGTGACGACCTCACGTGACAGCATGTCCTAAAGCAGGAAGAGAGGGAGGCTGTGCTGTGCCTGTCTCTTTTTCACTGGGAGAGAGGAAATGGGGCTACTCTTTCCTGGAAGAGTCCCCGCAGGGCTCCCCTTGCATCTTTCTGGCCAGGACGGACTCACAAACCCATTCCCAAAGCAGTCCCTGGCGAAGGGGAAGAGAACCCTGGTTGGCTTAAACCAAACTTGCTTCATCCCCCAGGGCTGGGGGAAGGTGCACCTTCCTTGGACTTATTGCTGGTCGTAGCTGAAAAGTCTGGTGCTCTCTAAGCAAGGAAGAAAACTGGAATGGCTGTTGAGTATCTAGCCAGCAGTGCTTGCTGCAAGAGCCATGGTCAAATCAAGGACATATTGACCATAGTCATGGCCAGGGGTTGTTGGTTGCCGGGAACAGAGACCCACTCGTATTAGCTTAATTAATAATCATAATTTAGAAACATTTATTGACCACATACTACGTTTCAGGCGCTGGCCTAAGGCTAGGCATAGTCTGTCGTTTAATCCTCACTCTAACCCCGATGAGGTAGGTTCTGTGCTTATTCCCATTTAACAGATGAGGAGATTAAGGCCCAGGGGTTAAGTTACTTGTTAAAATAACACAGAGAGACGTAATAACCAAGTTTTGAACCCTGAAAGGAAGATTCATCACAAGGATGTAATAGGCAATTTCCTACCCGTTCTAGAACCATCAAGAGTAGAATTAGCATCACACTCTCTGTCTCTCACTGGCGTGTGCAGTCCCCCTCCCCCGCTTCTTATGCAGGCCTCTCTCTGGACCCTGCTCAGCTCTGTTTGGCCCAGGTTGTTGGCTCAGCTCTGACTCCACAGGACCTTCGCATTCAAGTGCCTGTTCTCATCTCACAAGGATCTGTGCTGCTTGGAGCAAAGTCCTGAGACAGAGAGAACGTGATGGGTGTCTGGCCAGCCAGTGCATTGGCTCCTGGGGTCATTTGTCTACCTCTGGCCCAATCCCTGTGGCCGGGGGAGGGAACATGTAGGGCAAAGTCCGCCCCTTCCAGAGATGCGAGGCGGGGGTGGGGTTGTGCTGAAGGGAAAGCTGGGAAGGGAGCAGCTCGACGGATGCACCCTCTTCAGAGCTGGAGGAGCACCTTTACCTCTGCCTTAGAGCGGACCTTGGGCGTCATCTCATCAACCCCTGTGTCCACAGTGGGAGTCTTCTGCATGACACCCCCTCCCCACCGAGCGGTGTCAGCCTTTGGCTTCAGTGCCCCCCGCGGGGGAGCATTCACTCCTCCAGAAGCAGCACGTTCTGTCTCTGGGCAGTTCTGTGTCTTGTCAAGTTTTCCCATTTGTCACACCCAGATCATCACCCTGCAGCTTCGACTCCTGTTCCAAGTCTGTGCTTGCAGTAACCCAGCATGTCGTGTGCTTCCGAGGGATCTAAGCTTCAGTTTCCTCATCAGTAAAGTGAGGATGATAATAGGACTTACTCCACAGAGGGATTGTGAGGATCAAACGAGATTAAAAAAATAAATATTTAGCACAGATCCCCATACATATTAAGTGCCCGATAAATGGTAGCTACTAATTATTAGAAAAGGGACTCAGTGGATCCCAGCTTTAGAAAGGGTTTGGGGGATTGAGAGAGGGAGCGTGTTCCCCAGATGTTCCCCAAGCACACTGAAGGCTTGGAGAGGCGTGGGGTCAGTGGACGGGGGTCTGGGTGTTCCGGCCAGAGGGTGACGGGCCCTGGCCCACTCCTGCCCCCAGAGGCTTTCCTGATCCCCGCCCCTTACTACGGAGCCATCACGCAGCATGTGTATCTCTATGGCAACGTCCGACTGGTCTGTGTCTATCTGGACAGTGAGGTAAGAGTCCCTGGGACCCCAGGTTGGACCTGGGCCTTCCTGTAGGCCGAGATGCTCCTCTGTCTGAATTTGAGGGTAGAAATGAGAGGAAGTCCATGCCGAGGCCTCTGGGGTTATGGCTGAAAGGAGGGTGGAGCCTTCTGTTGGCCACGGCTGCCCTTGCCTAGGTGCCCTGGGGACACCCGATCTTCCACCTCTGAGATCCCTGGGGTTGATGCAAAAGCCAAGGGCAGCCCAGGGAGACCACACCGGAAAGGTGGGGTGAGAACGGGGCAGAGCAGACCTCAACATGGAAGCCCACGGACCCCAATCAGTGGACCTCAGGGGGCTCTTCCCCAATCCTAGGAGCCGTGAGGGTGTCCCTGATGTGATGGGGTGGGTGGCAGTGAGAGAGGAGTGACCCCCCTGTGTTTTTCTGAGATTGTTCTAAGAGGAGGCTGGAGATGACAGGGGTAGGAGAGGCCCCAGCGTCCAGGTCTGGGGGGGAGGGTCACTGAATTTGGCTGGTGGCCCCAGAGTCCAGGTCTGGGGGAGGGTCCCTGAATTTGGCTGGTGGCCCCAGCGTCCAGGTCTGGGGGGGAGGGTCACTGAATTTGGCTGGTGGCCCCAGCGTCCAGGTCTGGGGGAGGGTCCCTGAATTTGGCTGGAGGCCCCAGCGTCCAGGTCTGGGGGAGGGTCACTGAATTTGGCTGGTGACCCCAGCGTCCAGGTCTGGGGGGGGGGGAGGTCACTGAATTTGGCTGGTGGCCCCAGCGTCCAGGTCTGGGGGGAGGGTCCCTGAATTTGGCTGCTGGCTTTTGTGGATCTTCTTCCAGGTCACTGGGCTGGAGACACGCCCCTTCCAGCTCACAGTGGAGAAGCTCGAGATGGCGCTGGAAGGAGCTAATTCTGAGGTCTGGGGATCAAATTAAACCCAAGGCTGGAAGGCGGGGAGGCCTGAGCAGGGCATGGACCCCCTTCCTGTGGCTGATCTCCTGGGAGTAGTGGTGGCAGTCCGTGATGGGGACGGGGGGTAGGGTGGTAGCATGGAACCGTTCTGGGGGTCAAGCAGGAGCCTGCCCATGGAGGGCTTCCTGCTAGAGAAAGACTCTGAGACTCTCAGTGTACAGAGAATCAACTAGAGAGCTTGATTAAAAATACTACCCCCCCGGGCTTCCCTGGTGGTGCAGTGGTTGAGAGTCCGCCTGCCCATGCAGGGGACATGGGTTCGTGCCCCGGCCTGGGAAGATCCCACATGCCGCGGAGCAGCTGGGCCCGTGAGCCATGGCCGCTGGGCCTGCGCGTCCGGAGCCTGTGCTCCGCAACGGGAGAGGCCACAACAGTGAGAGGCCCGCGTACAGCAAAAAAAAAAAAAAACAACTACCCCTCACTTCTCCCGATTCTGACTCAGCAGGTCAAGCATGGAGCTTAGAAATCTGGTTCAGCAGTCTCTCTGGTGATTTGGGGAGGTGGTCCCCCTCACTCTGAGGGGATCTGAGGCCTCCCGAAGAAAGGCATAGACCAGCAGCCCTCCAGTGGTTCCTGTCCAGTCCACTTTTCAGAAATCTATCAATCTGTTTGTTTTTTTTTTAACCTTGGTCATAAAATCCATATATGCCCACTGTGGGAATTTTAAAAGTACAAACCGCCACCCATAATCCTACCAACAAAGGCAACTTCTACTGGCGTTTGGGCATATTTCTCTCTGAGCTTTGTTCTCTGCATTTGTTCTCTTTTATAGCTGATACGATGCTGCAGATACAGTTCTTTGCCCTTATTCGTTTCGTGTTGGGTGGTGAACACATTTCCCTGGGATCCGGCCCAGTGGGACCGTGTGGCCTTGGGGAGGAGCTGAGGGTCTCCTGTCCCACTGATGGTTTCAGGGTGTGAAGGTCAAAGGCCTCATCCTCATCAACCCCCAGAACCCTCTGGGTGATGTCTATTCCCCAGGAGAGCTGCAGGAGTACCTGAAGTTCGCCAAGAGGTGAGGCACCCCACGCTCACCCCGTAAAGCGTGTGACGGATCAGGGTTCTGATGTGAGCTTTGGTGCAGGTCCTGTTACCCCCTTTACCCCACTGTGGGTTTCTACCTGCTTTGGCCCTTCCTGGCAGTGGAGTCAGGGGGTAGGGCTTGGTGGGACGCTCCTTCTCTCTTGCTTTTTATAACAGCAGCTGCTATTATCGCCCGCTCTAGGGGCCCCGCCCCCTGCTAAGCACCCTGCGTGCTCCAGCTCATGTAATCCTCCCAGCGACCCTATTAGGTACAGATACTGTCATTATCCCATTGACTGCGGCTTAGAGTGAGGGGTGGAGCCAGCCGTGCATCTGGGTCCGCCTGTACGTAACTGTCTTGCACTTAACTGTGGCTGGAGGTGCCCGAGGGCTCCGCCTCCCCCGTCCCCCCACATTGCTTCAGAATCCCCACTGTCATCTGCCTTGTGTGTGCACAGCTTCTTGTTTGTTTGAAAGAAATAGACAAAAGAAGGGTGTTCCTGGAAAAAACAAGTTTGGGCTAGACCGCGGTCCTTCTGGATTTCTGATTCACTGCCATCCCACCCTGGGGGATGCATTTGGTCTACCAGCCAATCTCTCTCCTCCCCCCGACCTGCCCTCCAGGCATGAGCTGCACGTGATGGTGGATGAGGTCTACATGCTGTCTGTGTTTGAGGAGTCGGTTGGGTACCACAGTGTCCTGAGCCTGGAAAGGTGAGCTGACTCTGCCAGTCCCGCGCCCCTCCGCCCACCCAGGACAGTTCCCCTTCCTCCCAGCTAATCCTACTGTCCTCAGGTCCCCTAACGAGAAGAAGGGAGACTGGGCCAATCAGTGGTTTTCAGATTGTTCTGTGGTGGTTTTGAAAGCTCCAAGGAGTGGTCTTAGGATTCCTTGAGGGAAGGCTGGGAGGGTGGGAAATGGGCCTCCTCTGCCGTTTCCCTCATCTCCAGAGTGGCTCCATTTTCATTCATTCACTCATTCATTCAGCAGATACTTCTGGGGCCCCCTGCATGTGCCAAGCCCTTCCAGCTACCGGAGCTCTTTCATTAGATTTAGTTTGAGTCAAGAATGTGTGGCCAGAACACCTTTGGAAACAGTTGGATCGGATCATCTGTAAAATCTACATGTCTGGCATTTAGGGATTCTGACAGTTCCTGATACTCGTCGAGATCTTCCAGCCCTGCTGAGTCCTTTTGTTACTGGAAGGGGGACCCCTTCCAGGACCCGAGAGTGGGCTCTTGTCTAACACTCCGAAATGAATTGTCTGAGGAGACACGCGTACTGACAAAGCAAGAGACTTTATTGGGAAGGGGCACCTGGGTGGAGAGCAGGAGGGTAAGGGAACCCTGGGGAACTGCTCTGCCACGTGGCTCGCAGTCTCAGGTTTTAAGGTAATGGGGTTAGCTTTCCAGGTTGTCTCTGGTCCATCATCTTGCTTGTGCCCATACTTGATCCAATTCAAGGCCCTTCCTGGCGGTGCACACATCTCTCAGTCAGGATGGTTTCCCGTGTGAGGGTTTCTGGGAGGTTGGTAGAACATATTATGGGCTGGCGTCTCCTCCCTCCTTTGGGCCCCTCCTAAAGTCTTCCGGCTGGTGGTAGCTTGTCAGCTCCATATTCCTTAGCAGGACCTCTTGTTGTGAGATAACTTGTGCAAGTGGTGATTATCCTGCCTGGCCAGGGTGGGTGGTTTCAGTCAGTGGTTCCCGAACGCTTTCCTTTGCTCTGCTCAGGCAGTCCTCGCGAAGCTCTGCCAGGTGAATGGCACGTAGGTTGTTCCTCCCCTTTGCTTATGGATTAGGAGAGTGAGACTCAGGGAAGTAGGGATTTGTCACTTCCTGTGGGCCAGACACTCTGCTGTGCTGGAGGTACATCAGTGAACAAGAAAGATATAGACCCTTCTTATGTGGAACTTGTCTTTCTAGCTGGAAAAAAAAACATCAAAAAAACCCCCCAAAACTTTTAGCAACTAGATGCACAGCTAATCATTTGATAATTGAAAAGCAGACGTCTGGAGAGCCAACAGAGGATCTGCTTGGGGTACCAATTGGCCTGGTCTACTGGGAGGGGGTCAGAGAAGGTCCGCTTGAGGAAGCGATGCTTGAACTATGCTCTACGTCAGCGGCTGGCAAATATTTGTGGATCAGATGGCAAATATGTTAAGCTTTACAGGTCATATGGTCACTCACTCAGCTCTGCCATTGTAGCATAAAATCAGCCATGGGGGCTTCCCTGGTGGCGCAGTGGTTGAGAGTCCGCCTGCCGATGCAGGGGACACGGGTTCGTGCCCCGGTCCGGGAAGATCCCACATGCCGCGGAGCGGCTGTGCCCATGAGCCATGGCCGCTGAGCCTGCGCGTCCGGAGACTGTTGCTCCGCAACGGGAGAGGCCACAACAGTGAGAGGCCCGCGTACCACAAAAAAAAAAAAAAAAAAAAATCAGCCATGGGCAGTACGCAGGTGGGAGAGCGTGGCTGTGCCCCCTTAGAGGTTCGTTTACAAGAACAGGCAGCAGGCTGTAGCTGGCTGACCCCTGCTCTAAAGGATGTGTAGGAATTGGTGATTCAAGAGATGAAACCAGACTCATCTGTCTCCTCATTTGTTCAACCAAACATGTGAACTCCGACGGGTTTGCGTTGCCTCTGTTCCCACCCTGTGCTCTCCGCAGGCTGCCTGACCCCCAGAGGACCCACGTGATGTGGGCGACCAGCAAGGTGGGTTCCTGGCTGGCCTTGGGGGTGTCAGGGGGAGGTGAGAGGGCAGAGAGGTGGGTGGAACCGGCTTCCTCTGGGAGGGATGTCTGCCTCCCACAGTGCCTTTCTCCTTCAGGACTTCGGGATGTCTGGGCTCCGCTTTGGCACGCTGTACACAGAAAACCAGGACGTGGCCACTGCGGTATCCTCTCTCTGCCGCTATCACGGCCTCAGTGGCTTGGTCCAGTATCAGATGGCACAGCTGCTCCGGGACCGTGGTGACTGCCTGGGCCTGGCCACCTGAGGATGGGGGAGGGTTGTAGTCAGACTGGGACTGGCCAGGGGTCATGGGTGCTTCTCCCATGAGATGAATTTAAGGTGGTGTTTGAGAGTGCCAGCTCTGAGCCCAAACCACGTTCATATCCTACTCGGTCACGTCCCGGCTATGTGGTCTATTCCTTCACCTCCCTGAGCCTCAGTTTCCTCTTCTGCAAAACAGGGATCATAATGGTACCTGTCTTGTAGGGTTGGTGTAATTTGTCATTCAATTAGAATAGCACCGGGCATACAATAGGCACTTAATCAATATGAACTCATTATTGTTAGCTGGGAGCACTTGAAAAAGAGCAGAAGCTACTAAGGGAAGATTGTTATAATGAAAGTGTCTCTTTCTGTGCAGGTCTATTCTGTTCCTGGGTTCAGATAGTGAGTTTAGATAGCAAAGGTTACCTGTAATTGCCACCATTCATTGAGCCCCGCAAGATGCTCTCTATCTCATTTGTCCCTCCCCAGAATCCTAGGAAGCAGGTGTTTCTGGATTTTCCCCATTATTTTATAGATGAGGAAAATCAGGACGGGTAGTACACACCTGCTATAATAGCTAAATTTAAAAAGATCGTGATGGTATCATGTGTTCCTGAGGATGTAGAGCAGCTGGAACTCACACTGCCAGTGGGAATGTTAAGGTGGAACAGCCACTTTGGAAAACAACTGAGCAGTTGCTTATAAAATTCAACACACACTTACCAAATGGCCCAGAAATCCTACTCCTAGATATTTGCCCTTACGGTCACACAAAAACCTCTCCATGGATGTTTATAGCTGCTTTATTCATAATCACCCCAACCTGGAAACAACCCAAATGTCCTTCCACAAATGAATGGAGAAACAGACTGTGGTTCACCCTCACACTGGAATACTACATGGCAGTAAAAGCCATGAGGACACAGACCCATCTCAGAGGCATTGTGCTGAGTGAAGGAAACCAGTCTCAAAAGATTACATTACTGTATGATTCTACTTACGTGACACTCTGGAAAAGGCAAAACTACAGTGGAGAACAGACCAGCGATTGCAGGGAAGGGGGTGTTGTGACTTCAAACAGATAGCACAAGGGTGTTCTTCGGGGTGAGGGAACCATTCAGTATCCTGCCTGTCATGGGGGTTACACAAATCTATGCATGTGTTAAAATTCATCGAACTGGACACTGAAAACAAAGGTCAGTTAAAACAATGGGGATCAAGGAGGTGAAGTTGCCCAAGGCCTCACGCCTAGTCAGTGGCCACACTGTGATCTGAGCTTCCACCTGGGTGACTCGGAAGTGTCACTATGTAAGTGGGTACACCTCTGGTGAGGGTCTGAGTCCTGAGGGACTTTGTGTCTGGGCTCCTGAGAACGTCATGCAGGCCCTGGAGCCCTCAGGGCCAAGGATCTGGATTTAAGGTGCTTTTCACTGAATATTCCCGTTGCCCCCAATCAACCAGCTGCAGGAGGGGCTCACCCAGCTTTGGCAGCTCATGGCCTTTTTCTTTTCAGCATTTAGACTCTCAGGCCGGAGCGGAGGGTTGATGGCGAGGTTGATCTTCTGGCTTCTCTCTCACCCAAACAGACTGGATCAACCAAGTGTACCTGCCGGAAAACCACGCCCGGCTCAAGGCTGCTCACACCTATGTCTCGGAAGAGCTCCGGGCCCTGGGGATCCCCTTCGTGAGCCGTGGGGCCGGCTTCTTCATCTGGGTCGACTTGAGGAAGGTAATGCAGGTGGAAATGCAGGTGGTGGGGGCAGTGTTAAAGCTGCCCCCAGCAGGCAAGGGCAGGGGGTCTCATTCTGCATCCTGAGCGCCTCTCACCCTCCCAGTACCTGCCCGCGGCCACCTTTGAGGAGGAGATGCTGCTCTGGCGCCGCCTTTTGGATAACAAGGTGCTGCTGTCCTTTGGCCAAGCCTTTGGGTGCAAAGAGCCTGGCTGGTTCCGCTTGGTTTTCTCTGACAAGACCCACCGGCTTCGCCTGGGTAAGCGGTCCACCTCCTAACTGCGTCCTTCATTCTGCCCTCCCTCTTCTGGCCTCACCTGTGGCCCCAGCAGCCAGAGCTTGCTCGTCCCCACCCACCCAGCATCTGTGCTGACCCTCACTTCCCCTTCTCACATCCCAGGGATGCAGAGGGTCCGGCGGGTGCTTGAGGGCAAATCCCAGGTGGCAGAAGACGCCCCTTCCTGCTAGACCTAGGAGCCGAGTGGTCCGCACAGGTGAGCTGGTCGCTGTCTTGTGGCCACAGGGCCTGGCAGCCCCTGTGAAGACTGATGGTGGATGAGCCGTTTGCCAGGCAGATACCCTTCTTGGCCTTGCCCTTGAAGAAGAACTGCTCCTTGTTCTCCCGGTGGCAGCGAGACACGCCTTAAGTCGTGGTCCATTCCCCTCCCCGGCTATTAAACAAAACCGGGAGAAAAACTGGAAGCCTCTGCTGTGAGTCATTTATGGAACAGGGGGAGTCGTGACTGCTCCTCCCCACAGCCCTCAGCCCCCCAGGACATGAAAACAAACTACCTGTACCCGCTTTTGTTGCTGCCTGCATTCTTCTGTCTTTGTTGCCAGGGAAACTAGTCAAAGGAGCAACACACGTTAAGAGAGTGTTTGCCCCCAAAAGAAAAAAGAGTGATGATTTCTACAAGGAGAAAGGAGTTAATTCTGTATGTTCAGATTACTCTCCCTGCACATAGGATGTGTGGGCCTACAGCACACCTGGGACCTGAGACCTGGGACATGGGACCAGCCCCCGCGTGGGCCGAGGTGAACGGGTCCCCGGCGGGAGTCAGGAGGGGCGACTCTATCTCCGGGATACTCTTCTTCCTGGGAAGGAGCTGCCTTTACTGCTGGTCTCGAACCAGAGCGACCTAGCCGTGACTGTGCTGGGAGATGATGGGGCCCTGAACGGAGGCTGCAATGGGGACAAGCTCTGACCCAGGCTGGCCTTTCCACCTTAAGCATCAAAGGGCCGCTCACCCCTTCCCCAGGGGTGCTTTAGTTCAGAGCTCCAAGGAGCTTTCTGAACCAGCCTTAAAGCTGTGGGCTGAGGACCCTTCTCAGGTGCCGACACTCCTGTTTGGAAAAGCTATCTTCCTCTGTTCTTCTGTTTAGAGCATGTTGGTGAAGTCAGCATTTACTTTCTATAAACCATGCTCTGTGGCTTAGGATTTGTCTTCCTCTTTCTGCCTTTCACTCATTCCTCCTTCCTCCCTGTCTTTTCTTGAATACCTTGTACGTGCCGGACACTGTGCTAGGTAATTTACATGCATCGTTTCTAACTCTAACCACCGTGGGAAGCTGGCATTATTAGCCCTCATTTTAGAGATGAGGAAACTGAGTCTCAAACAGATGAAATGATATTTCTGAAGTTACATTGCTAAAAAGTAGCAGGGCCAGGATTCAAGTTCAGGTTGGTTTGGTTCACAATCTTTCCACTCCGCCAAACCACAGTCCCAAAGGATTCTTTGACTTTTCCAGTCCTGAGAACCAGGCTTCATGCTGTCATCGTTTCACCTTTCATTATTTTTCAACATCGTTGGCTAAGTAGCACTCGTTTCTACTCCCACTTCCAGGATACGTTGATGCCAGGATTTGCTGTACTGGGATGCCTGCCGCTTTTCCGGAGGTCAGAACAGAATGGCCACGTTGACGGCCCTACACATCCTCTCCAGAGACCTCTGTTGTGATGCTGCCACTGTTGTTGAGGGTCCCCTGTGAAGGACCCACGTGATGAATTCCATTTAGAATTTTCAGAAGGATGACTCCTAGCTCTCCCTTAGAGGGAATCCAAGCAGGTTTCCTAGCAGAGGCTGACTAAACTAGGAATCTGGATCTGAACTGAGCTCATTGGTTTGAGTAGAGCTGGCTTGTGCTCTGCTGAATGGCTGTGTTCCATATGTCTCCCTTTCTGGAGCATGGACTGGACATATCCTACACCCACCTCACATCTTCTCTGATCACCTTTCTGCTCTGCCAGTTACTACAGCCATCAGATTTTGTGTTCTCTCCTTCTCTTTTCCTCTGTGTGGCTTCATTTTCAGACATGCTCCATTCAGATGGTGGCAAGATGGCTTCCAGGCAGCTCCAGGTTACATGGTCCTTGTAGCAGACACCTACAGGGTATTAGCAAGATAGACACCCTTTCTTCCTCAGCATTCATTTCTCTCCTGCCATAGGAGGCCAGCAGGCCTTACCTCAATCATCTGCCCATCCAGGGGAACCCAGGTTCTACTCATCTGTCCACTCTGCCATCCTTAGTGGGTTGGCTTTTCCCCTTCAAGCTTATTTCCTCATTGTCTCAATATGGCTACAGAAGCTCCAAAGATCACCTCCTCACCAACCACTTCCAGACACAGAAAAGAGAGTATGTTTTTCTGTTGCCTCCTTTTCATTTTATTTCATTCATTTAAAAAATATTTGTTTAAGCCTCAGATTTGTAGGAGTTCTTTGTATGTCTGGAAATGAGTATTTATTTTGCCAGCTACTCTTCATTTATTAACACTCACTTTATCATTTTCTTTATTCTCCTCCTGAACATGGAAATGACCTTAGAACACTTAACTCTTGCTCCTTTATTTTCATCTCCTGCCATATTGTTGACTAGTATTTTAGTTAATGCCTCTTTGTTGTTGTTGTTTTTTTCTTCCTCTGGAAATTGTGCTTTGAAAAGTCATGACAACCCCAGTTTGGTCGAAGACCTGGTCAAATAGAACCTCCAGTTCTGATGTGAACATTTCTAACAACATTTCTAAGGCTTCAAGACTCTCAACAGGATATGTAATGTTTGACACCATGTTTTCTCAGACTCCATCACCCTAAGTCAAAATTTAGGGCATTGTTTTCCCATAAAGAGTCTGAAAAAGAGTTCAAAAGAAACTGAGACTAGTAGTTGCCTATGGGGTAGGGAAACCGGGAGGATGGGAAACAAGGACAGGAGTGAGAATTTTTACTCTTTCTTTCACTTGTTTGGTTCTCCTGGGTTTGTTTTAATGCTTTTTGTTTTTAAAACCACATGAAAGCTGTATACAGTAAAAAAAGAAATAAACTTAAAAATTCTATTTAGGGAAAGTACCTAGGAGAGTTACAGATACCATCTAGGTCTAGTACTGGTCTCATGTCTTTTGAGCTTCTGCTAAAACACTGCATTCAATTAATTTTTAAAAACTGAAGTAAAGTTTACCTACAGTGAATTGGGCAGACCTTAACTGTAAGATTCAATGTCCTTGACATATATATACATCTGTGTAACTAATATCCTATCCCCATCATGATGTGGAACAGTTCTATTACTGCAGAAAGTTCCTTCAAGCTCTTATGTAAGTCTCCCAGTCTCCTACAGGCAGCCACCACTCTGATTTCTAGCTCCATGCATAAAGTTTCCCAAAGGGATCATATAGCTGTTCACTTTTGTGTCTGGGTAATTTTGCTCAGCTTCATGTTTTAGGGTTCATTTACATTTACATTTACATGTATCAGTACTACATTCTTTTCTCTCTATGTGGTAATATCCCCTTTTCACTCCTAATAGTGGTAACTTTTGCTCTCTCTACTTTTGTTTTGTCATGAACAGTCTTGTACTGGTTTTATCAATTTTACTAGTTTTTCACAAGGAACTATTACTTTTGTTAATTCTATTGTATTTTTGTTTTCTAATTTGTTAATTTCTTTTCTTTAGGTGTTTATATGAGTACATGGGACCTATAATTTTTGTATAAAGGGAAAATCATTATTTTTTGCTCCTTTCTTCTGCCATTACTTTTCCCCCCTCACCTGCCAAAGCTACTGTTATTCCCTAATTTAAAGAAAAAGTACAAAATATGTGCATCTTACTGTACATACATTTTATCTCATAAGAAAAAAGGAACTGCAAAATATTGATCTCTAGTTAATGATATGCATTCAATAAAATATTCAGATGTAACTGCTGATATCTGCAACTTATTTTGAAATGTAGCAAAAAAAATGATGGATCAGCAAATGGATAGACAGACATGTGACAATACTGTAAAATATTAATTGCATAATATAGACAGTAGATATATGGGTATTTGCTGCAAAATTCTTCCCATTTTTTTTTTTTTTGTTTCTTTTTACCTTTCACCCCCTTCACCCATTTCTTCCACCTCTGGCAACTACCATTCTCTTCTCTGTGTCTATAAGCCAGGTTTTTTTGTGTGTTTGTTTTGTTTTTTAGATTCCACATATAAGAAAGATCATATGGTGTTTGTATTTCTCTTATTTCACTTAGCAGAATGCCCTCGAGGTCCACCCATGTTGTCACAAATGGCAGGATACCCTTTTCATGGCTGCATAATATTCCATTCATCTGTCTATAGATACTTAGGTTGTTTCCATATCTTGACTAGTGTGAATAATGCTGCAGTGAACATGGGGGTGATGCCTAGTTTTTAATCTCCAAATTTGTTGTTTTTATTTTTATAGTTTTATACAGCCAGTATTTGTTTTGATTTACCTATGAGTGTATCCATTTCATTACTTCTTTACTTCATCTCAGTACTTTCTTCTGGTTTTAATATTCTTTTTCCTGAAATACATCTCTTAAGAAATTCTGTTAGGGTTTACTGATGGTAAATTCTTTCTATCAGTGTTTGTCTGAAAATGTGTTTCTTTCGTATTCTTGAAGGATGGTTTCACTAGGTCTACAACTGAAATTGACTGCTAGCTTCTTTTGGCACTTTTACCAGTATCTTATGACTTCTGTTTTTTGTTTTTGTTGAGAAGCCCACTGTTAGTCTTATTGTCCATCCATTACAGGTGATCATCTCTGTCCAATAATGGAAGATTCTTAGCGACTGTACCCTTGGAAACTGCTTCTACTGCATTTTCTCTGTTCCCTGTTTCTGGATACATCCTGGGTTTTCTTCCTTTGTTCTCCCTCTCTTTCAACCTCCCTGTCCTATATTCCATCTCCTTGTTTTTTCTTGAATCTGCATTCTGGGTAATTTATTCAGATCTATATCTCAGTGTATTAATTGTATCTAATCTGTGATTTAACTTATGCATTGAATTTTTAATCTCCATTTTTATATTTAGTACTTTTTCAATCTCTTCCGTCTTTGGGGAAAAAACCATCTTGTTTCTTTCTAATATTTACAGTTCCATCTTTTAAGTCTTTGAGCACCATAAACTTACTTATTTTATATCTATTTCTCATTATTCGGTTATCTGTAGTTTCTGCAGGTTAAATTTCTGCTGTTTGTAG